GCGCCACTGTAGCCGAAGCCCGGCGACAGCGACAGTCCAAATTGAATGTAATAAGAAAATGCAATAAATTCTCGCGAGGGCAGAGCACAAGCGGAAGGTGGCCAGAAAAGAGTTCTGGTCGATTGTTTGATACCCTTATTTAACAAAAAAGGTTTAACCTATCAGTATAGAGTATCAAAAAGCTATAATTAAGGGCTTAAAATGCAATTTTAATATAGGAATTGAGGCTTCCTTTGGATTTATAAGTAGAAAAAGTGTTTATATAAATTTGTAAAATATTTACAGAATACATTTAGCATCTTTATCGCGTCTTATCTATCCAAATATATTAGTTATTATTTAAAACAAATTAATACTTCTCTTTAAAATAATAATTGTAATAAAGAAAGTGTAGTAAATTGTACTCTTCATATTTTCTACGCCTTACATTAAGAAAATCCCCAATTTAAAGTCTTTTTGGGATAATGATCTTCGTGAATGGTAAATGTTCGTGATATTTATTTCGGGGTGCATAAAAACACACACACTGTGATTTCCATATGACCCATTCCCCCTGCCCCTTCTCCCTCCTCCCACCACCCTTCGACACAATCAATTAAAACACAAACAAAAACCGATCGAAGCTCTGCCGGCAGAGGCACAGTGGGGTCGATTGACCAAGAGAACCGGTGTCTATGCAGCGGCAGAGCGACTGCGACGCTGCCGAGCGACCTGCGATCGGTTTGTTTTGTATTTTGTATTTTCGTATATTTTGTGGGGCAGACAGACGCGAATTGTATCTGAGCGATACGAGTACGTCGAGTACGAGTAAAAACAGTTTGACTGAACGTTTCGCCGGGAGCGTTTTTCTCCAAGTGGCAAATGGCAAGCGGCCATCGGTTTTCGGCTTCCGATTGAAAAGTGCCGAGAAACTAAAATAAAATAAAACAAAATACCGGGAAGCCAGAAAAGAAAAAAAAATAAAAGCGAATGTAAACTCTCATTGGCAAATTAATTGTTTGGGAACAGCTGGAACATTTAAATACAATTCGCGCATCTAAAAGTTTTTGTATTCCATAGGTGTAACAGTGTTTGTGTGTGGCAATCTCGAATTTCTTCCGCATTTTCTTAAAGAATAAATAAATAAATAATTAAACAAGCTATTATATTTCGTAGAAAAGTTATTTAAATATATGGAAAATGTCAATCTGAATCAATTTTTCACAGGGAAAGATGCAAAAGAAACTTTAATGAATTTTAATTATTGATAAAAGTAATTAGAAGTTTCTTTCTGAACAAAAAAATAGTTGAAGATGTTAATTACCTTATTCCTTTTAATATTTGTAAATTAAATTAATGTAGAACAACAAAAATTACCAATATGAAAGTGTTTCCAAAAATACATTTAAATAATAAACTAATATGTTGATTTCCTCTCTGAAAGATTTTGCAATAAATGTTTAATAAACGGTTCGTTAATTGCTACAAAAAGTAAATAATTTATGTCTAGCCAAAATGGCTTGACCATTTTTAATTATACCGGAATGGAATTTCGCTACAAAAACACAAACAAATAAATGAAATTTAATTAAAAACTCAAAATGTAAATGCCCATTAAACAAATCGTTAATAACCATCAATGGTGGAAATGTGAAAAGTGCCGAATTAGAGATGGCGTTGAGATTGGCATTGTTGTTTTTTTTGATTGCTTGATTGCCACAATTTGCGTCAATTATGCGTGAGTGACACGCCCTTTGTGCCACCGCCCACGCTTTTAATTGAAATTTGTCTGTGTGTTTGTTAATTTTTTTTTTTCTTTTTCTGCCTTAACTGCTGTTTTCCCTGTGTCTTGTGTGCGTGCGAAAAATGCTCAGTTTGCGCTGATAAAGAAAATTAAAGCTGCACAAAGCCCTCAAGAGCGGTAAGAGGTGGGCCAAGGGGCAGGGAAAAAGCAATAATAACAAAAGCGCCGACACAGAAACCAGGAAAAAAAATAAGAAGAGAAGTGCGCCTCGGGAAAAAAGAAACGAAGAAAAAAAGAGACGCTTAAAAGCAGAGCAGCCAAGTGAAAGTATGGGATTCTGATTGGAAATTACCATTCGAAGCTGCGAATCGATTTAATGATGATTTAGCTGGTTTGGGTTTAGGTTCCCGGGAGCAGCCACAGCCACCGCACATGAGGCTCTTACAAAGTGTTCAGATGTGGGCTAAGTGCGCTGGAAAGCCTCTCGGAAATTAGCCAAGTGTCGAGATAATTTATTGTAGCAAAGATATGGTATCTCCTGATCTAGGAAAGCCCTTTTTAAAATGAATATATTAGATAGTTACTTGGAGAAATATTTCCTGCAATTGAAATTAGTTGCTTTTGTGGTTAAAAGTTATTTACAATATCTACAAATATTTTTCATATTTTGTATAAATTAAAAATATGATTAAAATTTACCAAATATACATTTACAGCCTTAATTTCCGTTTGCAGAGTATACAAATTAAAAACTGCATCTCTGCATTCCTAGCCAGTAATGTAATATTTAATAGAAATTTATAGACTAGAAACTAAATGAAAAGCGACATGAAACATACCCTGCAATTTCCTCAAGATATAGAAACCTCTTCTCTAATATATATATAACGAACATACCCTCAGAGATATAGGATACACGAAATGATTTGCCGCAGAGAATACATTTCAATGGGCTTTAATTGCCTCGCCTGCCTGGGCAATTGATATTTATTGCCTAGTGTTTTGTGCGATATCTAAAGCAAATTATTCATAAATTACTATCTACTTTTGGCATTATTGTCAGCTATCTACAAGTCCATGCTAGCTTCTATCTATCTATCTTTTTATCTATGTATCTATCGAATTCCATTGGCTTTCAACATGCCCATTTACATGTCGACCGGCAAATGGCTTTTTGAGCAATTGGCAATGGGAATTTACCACAATATTTTATCTCCCATTTCGGGCGAGCGTGCAAATGCAGAGCTTATTTATTTGCCTGCCCAAATATTTGGTATTTCTATTAGAGCCAAACCGACCAACTAACCGACATAGCATCGCCACCGAAAATGTTGTGATACTTTATGGTCTGTCCGTGTCCGTGTCTCTAACAGATAAATAATTATTGCATTAGCCGCGCAAAAGTCGAAGCGCTCTCGATTCGCCAGCAACGCCCCAGCTTTTTAGATTTCGTTATATATATTCTTTTTTTCAACTGCCGGAGCCGCGAAACGTGACACTTGGCTATCAGATGTGGCACTGTGGCCAATAGGCGGGGGCATGTGGCACGTAACAGGTAACACAGGTAACACAGGTAATCAAAGGTGGGCGAAGGTTGCGGTTAGGGAGCTGTAAGCGGAGATCTGCCCACAATTCTGTCTTGCGAAAATGTATCTCTCAGATAAACATGCCTTAATTTATGAGCCATTCAGAATTAGCCTGAATTAGCTTGTAAATTAGGAAACATCTAGGTGATAAATAACCCAATATAACCCTAAAAAGTATAAGTTTATGGACCAGACATTTCAATTGAAATGATAAAAATTCCAATGGAATAGGAGAAAAAGTTTTCCGTTATATATTTGTTTATTTTTTAGGCATTTTTTCCATATCTTTTTATATCTGACATTAACATTGAAAAGGCTTGTCAATCAGTGTTTGGTTTCATAACTTCAAGAATCATGAAACCAATTAAGGGTTTGACTTTGATAACAACTGATTTGTTTGCTTTATCTTATCTTTTATACATAAAAATAATTGAAAGATTTAAATTTTACTTGTCTAGAGAACATAAAAAGCGGGAATAGAGTGGAATTTTGATAAAGTTCCCTTTTGTTTGTAGTTTTTCTAAATTTGTATTGGGGTTACATCATTAAAATTGTGAAAAGTTTAAGGAAAAGGTTAATTTTTAAGCATGTAATTTACTATAACCATTTTTAACCTATTAAAACTAGCACTGAAACGCGTTTCGAATTGAAATAAATGGCTTAGCTAGGATCAATTTCAAACCTAGCTTCCTGATTCAATTTCTAAAGTATACAAAACGACGATTTTCCTAAGTTAGCTTCCTCCTTTTTATAATATTTCTATTAATAAAGACTTGTTGTATAAATTTGTTACATTTTGTAAACTATAACTAATTAAAACTTTAAATTTTAAATCATTTTTAAATATAATTATTATACTACAAGTAAAGCTAGAAAACCAGCTATGCTAATTAATTTAAAGTCGATTTTCCCCACAAAAGCAGCTTTAGGAAAAACCATAAACTTGTATAATATTATAATTATTTTCCAATCAATTTACATCTCATTTGAACTTTTTAAATGAATTATTCACTTTGTATACACATCTCGAAAATTAAAAAAAAAATTCAACAAGAAAAGGTCTGCTAATAAGATAAATTGGATCTGTGAGGGAGATTAAATTGATTGAGATTGCGTTCATTCTTAGCGTCACTGGGTATTCCGTTTCCAAATCAATTCACTTCTTGTTTGACTTTTGTGTCTGCGAACGAGGCCCAAAAACCGGCTATCTGGCTGGCCCGTAGTCGTCGCAATCGCAGCCATTTAACAAGTTTCGTTCAGTCGAATCAATTAGCGGCCAAAAGCGCTGACGATCGGATCGATTGAGCGATTTGAGCGTCATCAGAGAGCTGGATCGGTGGGGCTATATAGCTATGACTATATGGTCATGCCTGCTTATGTTAATCAGCTGACTCTGACAGCTAACAGGGCTGTTAGCTAACAGGCGCCCGAAAGCTCGCTATGGATTCTTGGCGCTCCGGGAAAAGGCAGTCGTTGGTCAGAACGCGTTTGTGACTCGAGCGAAGCGCACGTGGCCGGGAAATCAAAACACACATTGAGCCGTCGAAGGATAGGCCAAAAGCTGGGGAAAAAACTGCCCCTACAAAGAGTGTGTGAGTGCGTGAAAATCTTGTGTAACCTGGAGAAAAGCCATCAAACGAGAGCGAGAGAGAGTGCTGGGAAATTCACCACGACCCTTGGACTTGGTTTTCCGCTCGTGTGAAAATATTCGCATGCTCACTACGTTTCGGTTCGCCCGCCAAGGCAGTTGGTTTCCTTAAAAAATCATATTCAGTGCGTGTTTTTGTGCAGTGTAGTTCTACAATCAGAATCAGAGCCACCAAAGCACAAGTCATCGGTCAAAAAGTAAACAAAATGAATGTAACATGCGGTGTCACAAGTGCTTGAAACTAGAAAGTTTACGATCCTAATGGCAGTTAACCTGAAGGAATTCTAATAATAATATCCCCTCGTAACAATAACAAAAAAGCGGTCATAACTATACAAGCCATTAAGCATAAAAAAAAAAACGGGCATAAAAACGTGAGGGTTTGGAATAGAAAAATAAAAAGCGAGCACCAGTAACTGTTGCTTGTCGCACACGAACACATTCATAATCGCAATCGCAATCACATTCGCATTCGCAGTTGTACAGAGTTACACACATGTCCTTTGTAGGCTTGTTGTGTATGCAACACTGTCCTCGGATTGTGGCTTCAATCAATGCGAATGTTGTAGGTTTTGCATGCCTATACAGGGTAGCAAAGGAGAGGATTTTATTTAGAAATAATTACAATGTAATTTTAAAAATATAAATTAAATTTCCAGAATTAAAACTTAAAGAAAATAATATAAATTAGAGGTAAAACTGAATTTAAAAATTTTGGGAACAGTTTTAAAATTAATAAAGTCTACGAATTAACGCTTAATGATTACTTATTAAGGTTCTTGCTATTGTATATTAAATTTTAAATTAAAAATTTTGATTTAAACTACTTAATTCATTAGCATTCAAAAACCCAATCAAAACCCATTTAGAATTTCCTCAAGGTTGGATAAAAACAAACCTACGACAACAGTGCGTATGAGTAATATATTGAATATAGTTATAGTTCTACTTTATTTTCAATGCCTTTTAAATAATACAATTTAATTTCGTTTTTAAACAAAATTCACAAATTAATTTGCCAAAAATTCATGAGGTACAAACAATTCGAATTCGTATTCTCAGCCACCTGCACAGGTGAGAGCAGTGGCCAGCAAGAACGTGTCTGTTGGCAAAACACACAAAAATTGGCGTTGCAAAAATTTCAATAAACCAATAACAAAAACAAAGAAAACAAAAACAAAACAAGTTGAAATTGTATAAAAATTATTTCGTTTGCACACGAGTTTGTACCGACAAGCTGGGGGAAAAAAAATTAAATTTAATTATTCGCAATTTATTATTTTGCTGCCATGTTAAGCCCTTTGAACAATTCTCTTTCTCTTGTATAATTAACTGTCGCCGCATTAAAACGAATGCTAATTATGAGCTTGTTTGCCCGTCGCCCGGTGACATTTGTTTGATATTTTTTTTGTTTAATTACCGAATCGAAAACGATGCAAAACGCGAGTGAATATAATAATAATTAAATAAACGCACAGCGACGGCATGTGATTAATAAAATTATGCAAATCGTTTTGCGCAAGCGAGATTTTAAAAGTCCAGTTTCATCATAATTTGTTTCTCTTTTGTTTCGTTTCGTTTATTAACCATGTTAGATGGCATTTAAGGCCTAATAAAAACCAGGCCGAGAGCAAAAACCGAAAATCAATAAACACAGAAAGCCAGGGTGAGCGAGAGCACGTAACAAAGTCAAATGCGGCAACAACAAGTGAGCAAGTTAAAGAACCTTTGCGATTTGTGAACGCTGCAAAATACTCGACGCGCAACAAGAAAAAGAACACTTATTTACAACACTCACCCCCGCGAGAAACCCAAAAACGAAAAAAATAAATCACCCAAAATAATAATAATGTCGGAGAGCAGCGACAACAACGGGGATCGGGATGCCCAGCAGCAGGCAGGTGGGGCCGAGGGGGAGGCCATGGGCGAGAACAAGATGAAGTCCCGCCTCCGCAAGGGAGCGCTCAAAAAGAAGAACGTCTTCAATGTCAAGGATCATTGCTTCATTGCCCGGTTCTTCAAGCAGCCCACCTTCTGCTCCCACTGCAAGGACTTTATTTGGTGAGTATCCCCAACCAACCAACCAGCCTGACCACCTGCCCACCTGCCGTCTATAGCATAACATATGTATCTGGCCTGGCCCTTGTCCATGTTCCATGCCCATTCCCACCCCACCCCATCCATCCGGCGGCGGCGGCACTTGTGGGTCTACACAAGCATGGCCAGCAATGCGTCGGCCACATAACATCAGTGGCCCAGAATCGATAAATGTATATTGACAAGGCGAAGCAACTGGGCAACAAAAGAAGCACACAACACAAATAAAAGAAGGATAGTGAAAGAAAAATAAAGCCATGACTTGAACAGTGATCCGCCTTGAATCACCAATGCTTAGTAAATACTACTAGGGAAAGCGATTTTTCTAGGGGAAAGTGATTTTTCTAGGGGAAAGTGATTTTTCTAGGGGAAAGTGATTTTCTTTGAGTTATTTTGAATGAATTTGTAGCAACAGTTATTTTATTTTTGTAAAGACTGAAAGTTACCTTCCTTAAAATAATAATAAATCGAAAAATCAGTGAAATAAATGCATTCATTTTTGTTCTATAATTTCTAAAATTTCTCTAAGAAATTCATTTCTATTGAGAGATCACTGTATTAAGTCTAGAATTTCCCCTGAACAACATTGTTGCTTCAACTGTTCAGGGAAGTTCAACATAAGGTTACAACAATAACAGAAATTACGGGAAAAAAGCCAACAGAAAACAAAGGCTAACCTGTGTAATATTTAATTTAGTTAAGGCTGCCGAAATCTGTCTTAATCCATTGTTGCTCCCTAAGCAAAAACAAACAGAAAACCCTCGCAAAAAAAAAAAAATAAAGAAAAAGAAAACAAAATCAAGAAAAGCGAAGCTGAAATTATGTCGACACAGGTCGGGTAACCTGTTTACTTTTGGTAGTCCTGGGAGCCGGGTCCCAGTAGTCACTTCCTGGCCTCGCAGCTTCCCTGCGGATTATAAATCAATTTCATGCGCATTAAATTCGCCAGACCCCCACTCCACCCCCTCAAAAGTAACCAATCGGAGCATTAACTTCCTGCTTCAGGACCCATATCCATTTTGAAGATACGATTTTTGAACAGAATTTCGATTTTTACAGCGGTTATCAGTCGGGATATGCATGGATGTAGGTATTTTCAAAAATATATTTGGTATTACTTTTCATGGTGTGCTTGGGGTAATGCTTGAAAATCATGGTTATGTGGAATCACAAGTAATTTTCATGTATAGAGAAATCATTTTGGGGCTTTAAAATATGTAGAAAATGTAATTTTTAAACTAAACTAAGGCCTAACTATTGCTTCTCCAAAAATAGGATTTTAAATTGTACCTTTTCATACCTTCACATTTTTCTCAGTGCATCTAAAGTAGCAGAAATATGCTTATTGAATTTCCATCAAAGAAAATTAGACTGTGCTCTCTTGCCCACACAAATTAATTAATTCGCCACTTAATATTCATAGTCAGAGATGCCCTCACCCCATCCCCCTCACACATACCAACCACAGAGACATTTTGACGAGCAATTTCAGTGATATTAATTCATATTTAATAAACAAACACACACACTCCGTTGCTCTGCAAAGTGTCATAATGCCAGGGCGTTGCGTTGACAATTTAAAGCCAACGACTAATGAATGATATGAAACTCTCGAGCAGCACAAATCCAAGGCAATTTATTAAGCTTGTCTCTTCATGACTTTCGTCATCGTGGCCGCCGCTGTTGCTGCTGCTATTTAGGCTCTTTAGCTAATTGTCGGCGAAAACATTTTGGCAATAATTAAATTAATTGCTGTTTAAAATGCGCCACCAGACGCCAGCATCATCGATCTATGCCCATAGACGGCCGGAAGACAAAGCTCTAAAATCGACGACAAAATTTTGGTATCCAACGACCCAAAAATAAAACGAGCATTAAGCCAGCACAAAAAAAATGTTTTAAAAAATTTGCCTCGACTTGGAGATACCCTGTACTTACTAAGTAAAATATGTGGCATACCTAAAAGGCTTAGGTTTGCATAATTTTTAACTTATTTAAAGATCTTTAAAAAGTTCTGGAGTCTTTGGAGTATTTGTTTGTTTTTAAATACAAAAATAAAATCAATAATTAATAAAGAATACTTTATTCTAATGCATATTTAATGGCTTCCAATATACCCCACCTCCAAGTGGTATTAATCAAAAGCCAAGTAGCTGGGTACTGCATCATTATTACACGTAATTAACGCGCTTTGACAGCAATACCAGCAAACAGGCAGCAGCAGCAACAGCAGCAACCAAGCAACAAAAAAAAACAAACTCCAAACAACAGACACCCCACTTTCGGCCACGCCCATTTTTGGGGGCTGCAGCTAATTAACAACTTTAGCCACAGTTACACTGTTACAGTATAACACCGGCTCGGCTTCGACTTTTAATTAATAGTGCGGGGCCTTTGGGGGGGCCACACGCACAAACACAAAACCCACGGCGAAACGCGCGTTGCAAAAAGGCGTTGCAGGCACGTATTTTAGCCAACTGAGGGTGCTAAGTGGGGTGTGGCTGGGTGAGGGGGGGAGGGGAGTGTGGAGTGGGCGTCCTTAAGGGAGGCGTCGATGCGGTGGCAAAGTGTCGCCCGCCGACTTCGTTTGCGGCAGGTGAGCAGGTGAAACATTTGCCATGTTTACGGCACGTCATTTGCATAATAGCGCGGAAACCGAAAAGGTCACGATGGAAATTCCAGGTAGAAATTCGTAATACCCTGGAATGGATGAATCAGTCAGTCAGTCATTTTTGGGAATTATAAATAGTTGGGCTTTAGGAAGAATAGAAACTTTAAATAATAATAATAGAAGATCAAGAGCTGGAGGTTTTAAACTTAGAGTCTTAAAAGAAAATTCGTTTCTATTGCAGTTTTAACTTCTATGTAGCCTCCTTCTTAAGCATTTTACTTTATTTTTAAAGGAATTATAATGAACTTATACTCCATTATGAATTAAAAATCATAAAGGATTTAAAACTATATTTGTTTAGTTTTTGTTTTCAAAGATATATATTCTTTATGTTATAAAACACCCTTATATAAATGATAGCTTAAGTTGTTTTTTTTTAATTAAACACAAACTAAACCCCTAATTCCATATACCCTAAAAAAACTACCCCAACTTTCAGCAAAGTTCAAGTTTTCTAAATAATAGGTACGAACTAATTAGGCTTCTGTTTGTGAAATGAATATTTGGGTTGACTTGGTGAACCTCTAACAAGAAGCAATTCATTTGCTCTAATTTAGTTTAATTAAAATACAAATTTGTAAATGAAATCCTCAAAATTAAAACTATAAAATATGTGGGTCAATTCTGGCTTTTTTGTTCTATCCCTTTTTCGCTTAGCTTGTTTAATTAATTAACTTAAATTGCAAACATTCTTAACCCCAGCTCTCTTTGTCCTTTAATAGTTTTTTTTTGCAGCAGCTTTTTTCACTCAGTTTTTTATACTCTATGAATTCCGTTGTTGCTGCTGGAAAATATGCGCTTAATTAAAAATTGAAATGCATAAAAAAGGATGCAGTGAATAAATATTTTTTCGTGGGCAGCCGAGGGAAGTGTAGACACAAAAGGGGAGAAAATGAAATCATAGTATAACTGCAGGCGCGGGAAAATTGCTTTTTCACTTCATTTGATGGGCAAACAGAAAAGAGGGCAAAAAGCACCAGAAAACAGATGGAAAAACAGCGAAAAGCCACGAACAGACAACCTGGCCAAACAAAGGAATTAAATTTAAATGGGTAAAATGGCAAATACGGGCGAAGCATTATGAAACGACGTCGTTGGCAGCGCTAACAAATCGCCCCGATTTGTGTGAATTGTCCAAATTGGTAACAAGCTAATCGGTTTAACTTTTGCGCTGGCTTAAAGGACTGCAACGTATACTCAACTTGACTAAAATACTTTTTAATATATATATATTATACAAGTATATATGGTATAAGCGTTGTGCATGTGAATAATTTGCCATGTCCCAAATTGCAGCTGAAAGGGTTTAGGGGGAAAAGTGGTTTGTGGTCAAGTCATTTACGGTCGAAAGGGGTGAGAAAAGGCCGAGAGCAGGTCACGTAAACCCGGCATTTTAGCCCCACAACAGGTTCTGGCCATTAACCAGTGGCCCGGAATGAGGCTTTGCCTCCGGAATGGCTTTAAGTTTTCTAGTTTTTTTAGTTTAAGTATGCAAATGCTCGTACTCGGGTGTGGTTTTTGAAGGCACAGCATTATGCAGGCCTAGAAACTGTGTTTAAAATAAATTTAAGAATATTTATAGGAGCCATTTTGTTGATTACTTTTGTAGAGTGAAGCTTATTGTAAGTTATTCCATTTGTTTTGTAAAATTTAATTTATTTTCGACATGATTTAATGGTTGTTGTAATTAAACAATAATGTCATAAAATGGTATATTTATTTTGCCATAACATTCAACACTTTTACTGAGATCTTTTACTTTATTTTATGAAATATTCGTGCAGTTCTTAGTAAATATTATTATTAATTTTATTCATTATTATATTCCTTTTACTCTCTTTAAAATTATAATTTAATTTGAAGGATTCCCCGTACTGTACCCCAGTCTTGTGGCATTTTTATTCCCTGAATAGCATTTTAATAAGTTGACATTAAAACGTGGCCTACTGCTGTGGGGCTTCGCATATTGTAATTCCCGCCCATTTCTCATATTGATTAATTTTAAAAGGCCCGCGGGACCTGCGATTGGGTCTCCTTCCATTCGCCATAGCATATTGATCAATGGCGATTTAAATATTTATGCTAATTGCCGTCATGACAACAATCGCTCTTGGGCCGAATGCAAATTGACGCTCTATTCCCCTTTGATTTACATATTTTTTTTTGCAGGGGCTTCGGGAAGCAGGGATTCCAGTGCCAAGGTAAGGACATTGCCAGCTCCGTGACGAATTATCAGCCAATTTATAGTATTCTCCGCCTCCAGTTTGCTCCTATGTGGTGCACAAGCGATGCCACGAGTACGTCACCTTCATCTGTCCGGGCAAGGATAAGGGCATCGATTCGGTAAGTGTGCACCCACACACACACACTACATACTCTGAGTTATGTTAAATAGGATATTCCGGATAAACTACTACATATGAAAGTGCATTTCCATGTGCGAGATATGGCAGGAGAAGGGTAGGGGTCTGGGATTCTGGGACCTATTTGCATTGCTTTTAGTCTTTGTGGGCTCTGTCAAATTAAACTGTCATTTGGATTTTCGGTTATGCTGGGCCCTGTCCGTCCCCCCAGTGTCCCAGCTGTCATGTCCTCGTCCTCGTCGTGGTTCTTGCCTTTCCTGCTCGCCTGTCAACTTTGCTTTGCCAGCTAAGCAGCAGACTCTCTTCTGGGTTGCTAAAAATGCGAGTCCCTTTCGTCCGTGAGCGCCCTTTGGGTTATGGAAAATGTCATTTGGATTTTTCCGCATACAGCAAGTTCCCCACATTCTGTGTATTTATTCATGCCGCCTGTCCGAGCCACAATGTTGTGAGAAGGCAAAATATGGCAGCCGAGGAATATAAATATATTTATAGAGAAGAAAGTCTCGGATGGATTGGCTTTTAAGGCAGCAAATAAAGTAGTTTTTCAGGCTTTCAATAGAAAAATATGCTAAGGAAAGTGAGACGTTGGTAAGGGGAACATAAAACTGAATATTAAAACAGAAAAATCGTATCCCATTCTTAGTTCTGCTCCTTGTTTATATATTTATGACAATGAAAAATATAATAAACTAAAGTCTTGTTTGAGGAAAATATTTCTAAAGCCAAAACAAGTCTCTGATGAAATTACTTCCAAGAGAGGAATAAAGAACAGAACCCAACTCAGTACCCTCCCCTGCAGCTCGCTTATGGAAAGTGCATAAAAGATTTGCAAATGAAGTTAAGTAGATTGTTCAACACACTTTGTAGGCTTAAGTAGAGTTTTTCTTTGTCATTTTGCTTATTGTTTTCAGTGCAAAATTAGAACCAAGAACTTGTTAATTTTGTCATTGTGCTCTGTTTATTTACCATGAACCAAAATTTGTACTTTGTATTCTTTTCCATGTGTGCATCCACCAAAAAAATAATAATAAAATCAAACCAAAAACTCAATTCGCTGTCCAACTCACGCTGTCACCAAAAACCACGCACCAACAAAAAAATCAAAATAAAAACCAACCACAACAAACAAAATCGAATACGAAATTGAAATTGAAATTGAAATTGAAATTGTTGCCACCACAAAAACTGAAAAAAATATATATATATTTGTATAAAAATGAATGAAATAAAAGGACTCACCAAAAACTCAACACAATTTTGAGCCATTCACATACGCAGGACCCACGTTCTGCGATCATTGTGGTTCCCTGCTGTATGGCATTTACCACCAGGGTCTCAAATGCTCAGGTAACCCGTCAACCCCTTAAAGTTAGTCCCCTAACCCCCCGTAACAAAAAACCTGAAACCCTTTTCCTTCTTGCTCAGCTTCTATTCTGCTATCTCTCTAACCACCAAAGTTTTTTTTATTCGCTTCTCTCTTTCACTTAACTTTTAATCCTTTTCCGACAAAACCCCAACTGACAGTGTAAATAATGATGATAATGTTTGTGAGCCTGTGTTGTGCGAGTGTGTGTGTGTGCAAGTGTGTGTGTCTGTGTGGGAATTAAATTTTAAACGCAATTTGACCTGGTCAACAGCGGCGGCAGCAACAGCAACAACAGTAAAGAAAGCAACATGGAGAAAGTTTCTCTTGCAGGCCCGAAAAGTTAATTATTTAAATTGTTGTACATACATCTATGTATATATATAAGTATGTGTGTGTGTATATGCAGGCCGCACCTTTGTAAATATGTCAATACACCTACTTTTTTTCGTATCCTGTTTGCCTGCTCTCCTCATTTAACCCACAACCGAACCAAACCGAAGCTCCCAGCACTGAAAGTTTTCTCCTCCTTGTGGCACGTGTAGCAGCAGCAGCAGCTTTTCCACTTTTCCGCTTTTCCCTACCCCCCCCCAAAGCCTACCAATTCATTTGCATAATTATGCACATGCCGGGGATACATGGTGGGGCTGAGAACTAAGTTGCCAAACAATGCTTGTCATTTGTTCAGACATTTTTGTGCGGCCAGCCTCCGATATAAATATAATTTTAAATGTGTTTTTCGGGCTGCAGATAAAAAGTTTTAAGGGTCGAGGCCTTGGGGCTGTTGCAATTGCGGGAATATTTTTGTGTTAAAATTGTTATCCCTTCTGGAAGTTGGGTAATAAATTAGGAAGATTAACATTAAATGAGAGGGTTAAACTTTTTAGAAAATAATACTTAATAATATTAATTTATTTATTTATTTATTTAATGCTAACTAATAGTTATAAACTAAAAGTTAACAAAGGTTAATGAGCAATGGCTACCGAGGCCCTCCGCTCTTAATAATATTAAATATATTTATAATATAAAAGAACTCTTTAGATAAATGATATGTGATATATTTCTACATAAAGGATTAACTTTTCATACCTGTTTGCTCCTCTCAATTTCCCTCAAAAACACTCTAGCCACAACTCTTACCACTTAATTAACTAGTTTCTTTCGGGTCCTTGAGCTGTATTTTTGGGACTGTGTCCTCTTAAGCAAACTGTAACTACTGTTGCCAGTTTTCCAAGTGGCTTGGCAGGAAGAGAAGGCGGGGCACAGGACATCCATGGCAACGGGCTTAATTAGAGCGAGTCAAGTGTAAACACCAAATGCAGAGGCAATAAGAGAGCATTCTGCGAATTGGAAACTCGCCTGTCACCGCCAACTGTGATGCTAATGTGTGCATGTGTGTCCATGGCAACCTTGTCGCTCAAATTTGCCTACAAACCCCCCAGTTTCCAGATCTTTTCCTTATCAATTACACACGCACACACACTGACTCGCTCTGTTGGCTTTTCGCCCCACTCCAGACTTTTCCCGAAGTGTGTGACATACAATCTGGCCCCCAATAAGCCTAAATGTTGCCATTGTCAGTTGTATTTGAGTATTCGTGCGACATCTTCGGCACTTTATTGCCGCCCTTGTGCATCAAATCGGATCAAATGTATTGCGACAGGTGTGGTCTTGTGTAGGCAAATCAATTTCAGCTTTAGCTTAGCTTCACACCTGAGGAGGAAAGACCGAAATTTGATTGCCTTCTTTGTGCCAGTGTCAGTAATTTGTGCTCCGGGCGGAAATTGAAAACAAATGCAGTTAGTACCATAAAAAAAGTAAAATGCTATCAGATGTCAGACCCCCGGCCTGATAGCCAGATATGACCGCATTCAGGACCCCAAACAGACAGACGCCTCGCTTATCTGGGTTGTCGGTATAAATGACATGGCAATTTATATTTGCCACCCTCCCTGCCGGTTCCTCATTTATTATCGGGCATCAGTTGTTAATATGCTTGGCATATTATAGTGTGTATGTATATATTGCGGTTGTTTTATGTACCAGAAATTACATTCAATGGATGTAAATGGATGTAAATGGAGTAATGGAGCCTGCCAGCTAGATGATGGCATTTTTCTGGCCATTTTGTGGGCCACGAATTTGCTAGGTGACAGCCAGGGACGCATGGAATGCTGTGATAAATTCGCGCTGCAAATATTTTTTCAAATTTCTTTCGCCCCCGGTTCGTCCTGTGTGTGTGTGGCACGTGGCAAAAAATAAGTAGGCTTCAAATGAGGGGCGGAAAATGAAATTCTATCTCTACCTATATGTGGGTGCATGTGTGTTTGTGGTTGGAGAGATTTATTTGGGAAAAATACATATCAAAGGTGGAAGTATGTTTACGGGGCCGATACTGTGGCGTTGCGATAAGAAAAACGGTTGAAATATACACAGCTGAACTCCAGCAGCAGCTGAACTTTTGGCCGAATTTTTTTCGTGTTAATCGCGGTAAATTGGTTTTAGAGATAATCAAGAAAAAATATATAATATTAAACAGAAGCTGTAGCATTAATTCATAATTTATTCATAACACCAGGGATCCTTTGAGGAGGCTTAAGACACGTGAACTAACAAACAGTTTTCAATGAAATTAAAGCCTAAAATTCTTCTTTTTATACCCTTGAAAGGATATTATAATTTCAGTTAGAAGTTTGCAACGCAGTGAAGGAGACGTTTCCGACCCCATAAACCATATATATTCTTGATCAGCATCAACATGCGAATCTTTCTAGACATGTCCGGAAGAAATCGATTTTTTGGCCATTTTTGCAAAATTTCATAAGGGGTTACATCATTAAAATTTTTGATTTTGATAAAAAATTGAATTTTCAAAATTTTTAAATGAAGTATGCAGATTTATTAACTATAGAAAGTCTTGCACAGAACAGTTTTCCGATTTAAAATTAATGCTCTTTTGGCCGAGTTATGATATTTTTAATTTAAAAAAATCAAGAAGTTTTTTAATATAAAAAATTCGATTTTATAATACAAAATAATATTTTTCAAAGTCAAGGAATCATTTTCGACCCCATAAACCATATATATTCTTGATCAGCATCAACAGGGGAATCTTTCTAGATATGTCAGAAAGAAATCGATTTTTTGGCCATTTTTGCGAAATTTCATAAGGGGTTACATCATTAAAATTAGCAAAAATGACCAAAAATTTTGATTTCTTAAAATTTCAAATTTGGTATGCAGTTTTTTTAAATTAATAAAAACTAACACAAAACTGCTTTCCGAATCGAAATTAATGCATTTTTGGCTTAGTAATGATATATTTTAATTGTTACCTGCAAGGGTATACAAATTTTGGCTGGCCAAAGTTAGCTTTCTTTCTTGTTTTCAACTCAAAGTCTACTTTTTGTAGGCCACTTTGCCTTGCCCTTTTAACTGAAAATTCCACAAAGGAAATTCCACGAGGATCTCGTTTCGAGTGTCAACACCTGTGGCTATCCAGGGTCAGTTTCACTCAAAGGCGATACCAATTGGAGGCCGCCCGCATATACAACCGTGTTTACCTTCAATGCGATTGCATTTTATCCAAACAAATGCCCCCCAAAAAACCCCACCCACTCGTATGGCCTTGAGCATGCCCGCCAAAGTATGCAACAACTTTTTCGTTCCTCCACCAACGCCGCCGCCAAGGTCGCGCATGTGTTTGTATGTTTGCTTTCCGCTGGTGTTTGTCTTTTGGTAGCAGAAGGATATTAATGGCTGAGCAGCTGTTGAACCTTGGCAGAGACAAACAACAAATTGTCGGCCGCCCACCTCCCCCCCCAAAAAAAAAAATACATACATAAGGACGAAGGCAACTACTCAGTGGATGCTCATGCAGGCGCATAATGCTATCAAATGTCCTTGCTTACAGCGCTACCCCCCTTACAACATCCCTTTCCCGCGCCAACTAACACAACAATCGAAAACTTGGTTATGTGGGTGAAAAATTATGGCTCCTTTCATACACTGCTGCCGAAAAGTATATGCACCCACATAGGTCACAAGACACAGGTCCTTAAGCAACCGGAAAAGTTGCTAGCCAATGTCATGTATGCACTTTGGGAAATATTAAGAGGGAGTTAGGGTTCTTTTAATACAAAATAAATGTAATAAATCTAAAACGGGATAGAAAAATAATAAATTCAAATAAAATAAAATAATATAAATATAAAAAAAAAAAACTGTAGACAAAAGAATAAGCTTAATGAAGCAAATATTGTTAATCTTCCAGCGTAACATAGCTTTTATTTTCCTCTTTTATTTTATGCAACCGCCCAAAAGTAGGCTACTTAGGATAGCAACTCAGTCCCGGGTATCTCATAGTCAGTTCTCTTAATTTTGCCCATTTTTCGTAGCCTCGTGGCTTGTGTCTCTGAGTGCCAGAGTTCCTTGAAAGGGATTAGGCAGCGATTGTCTAGGCGACCTTCGCCAGGGCATCAGTAGCAGCAAAAAAGAAAAACCCTTTACCCCAGCCACCCATCTCCACACGTGTGTGGGTGTATGTGTAAACACACTCCCTACTAACACACTGTGACAGCAGCAGCATCCTCTCTCATTGCCATTTGATTTCGCTGTCTGTGACATGTGACGTCCAACTTGCAACTCAATTAACGTCCCGTTTATTTCATTAGCACGAAAGCAAAGTAACAGCAACGGAAAACATTTGCACATTGCATTGGCCAGTGGTAAAAAAAAAGGGGTGGAGTTTGATGGGGGCACGATTGCCCCCCGGAGGTCCTTAATTAGCTTATTTGATTGATTCACTTTTGAGCGCTGTCCCTTCAACTACATTAATTGGAATTCCACTAGGAAGGCAAAGTCCTTGAATACGGATTTATCTGAAGTGAAATTTAATGGTGTAAAATTCAACTTTCCTCTTAACTCATACTATTTTTTTATTAAATACTGTCTTTTTAGAACCATTAGTTTTTATTTAAATGAAATTAATAATACATTCAATAATATATGTAAGCACTCCCCGCATATTGTCGCCCATTTCGTGTCTCATTCTGTAATTGTTGCTGTACTCGTTTCTTGTTAATAATAATATTTTAGATACATAAACTATTAGCAACCCTCTTTTATACCTTATGCTATACCTATGCCCTGCGTTAATTTTCCATTAGTTTTCTCTTCCAATTTGAAATCGGGCAGGCGCATCAAATGCCCCACAAATGGCAGAATGTCGCCTTCCTGTCGCCGATGTTTTGCGATCACTGTGGGTCTCTTTTGCACGGCATCACGCACAAGGGTCTCAAGTGTCGAGGTAAAGTCTCCAACGAGTACATATATAGTCCTATATAGTCCTTAAATACCCTCACTATCTTGTGTTATTTGCGGTGCTGCGGCATATATGTACATACCATATATGTCCTCGCTCATTTGCATTTTTGGCGGCGATGCCGCAGAGTTTTTAGATTGTTGCAATTTACAATTAGCAGCGCTTTGTTACCGCTCAAGTGTGCACTTGTCGTTGTGTTTGTGTCGAGTGCGGGAGGTCTCTGTGTGTGTGTGTGTGTGTGAGTGTGTCTGCGAGTGTTGTGCACACTTGTGCGAATTGTTTGTTGTTTCGCTGACAAGTTTCCGTCCGCGTTTTCCCGCTTGCCCCTTTTTATTTGCCCAGTTAGTATTTTCCTTTCTTTTCATTTTCTGTTGACAGTCTTAAAAACTTGTTAATTTTCACGTTATATGTAGAGCGTAGTGCATGTGGAGCTACTTAATAAATGTTTGTTAATTTAAAATGCATATTAGATATACCTATATTTGCGTATTTTCCGTCCCTTCTTTACCTTTTTATGGGGGACACTAACTGGCTCTATTTAATGTCGGACTTGCCCAGTAATTTGCCTTTTGGCCAAAAACGTAATAATAAACAAATGCGTGGGTGCCCTTGTACTGCTCTCTCTCTCTCTGTTTTCTTTGAAAAATCTTTGAGTCCTTGAACCCTTTTAGAGCCGTAATTTAGTTCAAGTGCAAATAAAATGTAGTACAAAATATTCTAGAAAATTAATGAAGTTTAATGAACTTATAAAGGGTGTTTTAGGTTCTTCTAAAGGTTGAGATATTTTGAAGATAATATTTCTTATTAGGAGATATAATGAGTTCGTTTTTCAAAGGAAATAACTTCTTCAATAGGTGATAGATAGATGGACTCTTTTACGAAGTAAAACTAAAGAAGTTATTTAGTTATATAAAGCTTTAGATTACCATTAGTGCACCGCATCATTTTAAATAGGGTTAAAAGGTGGTTTAAGCTCACCACAGAATAAATAAAGAATGTACATATATAAAGTTGAGAGGTGTTGTAAACTCACCACAGAAGCTGCTTTTTGGGAATATTTTGTGGAGCTATGCAAGTTAAACTTTTCCCAAATCCACAAGACTGCAAAAATATCTGTTGATGTATGCCAAATGGAATGGGGAATATAAATACACACGGGCAGACAGAAATACATATGAATGAAAGGAATACTGTTGAAAAAGGAGGCCACATTATATGAGTACACACACACACACACAGTCATATATCCTGTGTGTTTGTTTTTCTCCGTTGTTTTTCTTTTATTTTTTATTTCGGTGTTGTTTTTTTTTTTGTACAATACCAAAGGAAAAAACCCTTTTTGCCTTTGTATACACATTTTTGCACATTCTGTGCTGACCAACGAGCCACAGGGGCCCCCGCAAGCGTAACTTAAATATCACGCATACGTAGCGAGGGCTGGAAACGGAAAGTAATTTTACACTTGACCAAAGCGGAATGTGGCGAAAGGAGAAGAACAATAGTTGGGGAAAGCGGATATGTGAAAGGAAACTGAAGCAATCAGCGCAAACAGGATAATGCCCATTGATGCTCGATGATGGCCGTTGATGCTGTTGCTGACGATGATGATGATGATGATGATGATGCTTTAATTGAAAACAAAACGTATTGCATGAAAATGAATCGCAATTTGATTTCAGCAAATAATTTCCAATCGAACGCTTGCCACTTGTCAGAGTCAGGAGCAGCCCAGGTCCTTTCACTCTTCCGCCGAGCAACAGTTTGTCAATTTCCGCTGCCAAGTCAGTAAAATTGAAAAGAAGATGGGGGGTTAGTTGGTTGGGTGGTGGCTTTATTTACCAATTGAATTGCCAGCAGCAGCGGATTAATCGCCTGCATTGCCCCACAGGTAAACATTAGTTATCAACATCCGACAAGGTAAGTACTGTACTTCACTTTGCTCTAAGCGTGTGTTTGTGCGAGTGTCCTGTTTGTGTGAGCAAGTGTACTTCACTTTGTGCGAGACTGTACCCATGTGAGTCCGTTTTCTGTTCCTCGTTTCAACATCCAACTCATGCCTCTCGTCAATCCCACTAACCTACTAGCTCTCTAACCCCCTTTAAGAACCCTTTTCAAAAGAGCCCAACGAAAATTGAATTTCAACCCCATTTTAAACACTTTTCCAACCCGTTTAGCATGTGACATGAACGTTCATGCCCGCTGCAAGGAGAATGTGCCCAGTCTGTGCGGATGCGATCACACGGAGCGGCGCGGCCGCATTAATCTGGAGATCAATGTCAAGGAGAATCTCTTAACTGTCCAGAGTAAGTGGCTCCCCAAAGACGGGCGAATACAATTTAAAGCCGCTTAAGCATTGTTACCAATTATGGTCTAAGTTCTTTATTTTGTTTCTTTTTTTTATTATTATTCTGTGGGCACGCCTTGGGGCCCGACAATGGTTGGCTCTTGTGGCCAGTGTTGTCAGAGCAGTCTTTAGAATAAGTAGCCTACGTTGAATGTGGGCAACGCTGGCTTTAGAAAGAGTATCTAAGCTTCAATGTTGCCAACCCTGTATTCAGAAAGAGCATCTAAGCTCCAGTTTGTTCCAGATTGGCTTTACATAATGCTGCCGGGCTCTTCGGAGTTACAAAAGTTATACAAATATTGGTTAAAATTATTAAATAATATACATCCTGTAAATTCCAAAAATTTTAAAACCCTTCCGACTTAAAAAAGCCAAGTGAGCAGCCCTGATTCAGGCAAAAAGTTTACAAAATGTACATATAAGTAAAACAGAAGGCAAGTGGAAAAAATTATGCCCCGGGAAGCCGCAAAGTTTCCCAAGCAACGCGCTTAAAATGTTACATCTTCGCAACAGTCTTTGCGCCTTTGTATTTCTTCGGCCTTCCATTGGCCGCCTCTCGTCTCGTCTCGATTCGTTTCGTTTCGTTTCCTGCAGCAGAAAAGTTGCAGGTCCTTTGGGCTCCTGGGGAAAATTGCTTACGATTTGCATTAATTCATTATGCGCGCTTAAGGAAATTCTCCGTATTCGTTCTCCTTCGTTAGCCGCAAATGCCACATAATGAATACCTAACTGGAATGGAGTTATTGCAGAACAAAGGAGTGTAGGATGGCAGGATGGCTGGATAAATGGATGGGTGTCCTCCAGGACACAATGCTTTGTTCATGCCCATGAGCATAGTTTGCGTAATTTCCATGGCAGCTGCTTTGTGCTAGGGATTTCCACTCACCTCGAATTGGCTTTAATTGACTGCTTATGCTTGCTCCACTCACAGACTTCAATCTGCATTGTCCTATTATTTTCAGTCAAGGAGGGTCGCAATCTCATACCCATGGACCCCAACGGACTTAGCGATCCTTATGTAAAGGTCAAGCTGATTCCAGACGACAAGGATCAGTCGAAGAAAAAGACTCGCACTATTAAGGCTTGCCTGAATCCCGTTTGGAATGAGACCATCAGCTAGTGAGTGGTTTAATTAGGAGTTATAGTGGTGATTTTAGCATAAATTTAAACCTTTTTCTAGTGACCTCAAGCCCGAGGATAAGGATCGACGCATCTTGATCGAGGTTTGGGACTGGGACCGCACCTCGCGCAATGACTTTATGGGCGCTTTATCCTTCGGCATCTCGGAGATCATCAAGAACCCCACCAACGGCTGGTTCAAGCTGCTCACCCAGGAGGAGGGCGAGTACTACAACGTGCCATGTGCGGATGACCAGCAGGATTTGCTGAAGCTCAAGCAAAAGCCATCGCAGAAGAAGCCGCTGGTGATGCGCAGCGACACCAATACGCACTCCTCGTCCAAGAAGGATATGATCCGGGCCACAGACTTTAATTTCATCAAAGTTCTGGGCAAGGGTTCGTTTGGCAAGGTTAGCTTGCAATCTATACACCTAAAATAGATTTTATAACATAAAACTATTCCCTATTAAAGGTCCTACTAGCCGAGCGTAAGGGCAGCGAGGAACTGTATGCCATCAAGATACTCAAAAAGGATGTGATTATCCAGGACGACGATGTCGAGTGTACCATGATCGAGAAACGTGTCCTGGCACTGGGCGAAAAGCCACCTTTCCTGGTCCAATTGCACTCCTGCTTTCAGACTATGGTGAGTCCAAGGGCGTTAAGAAGGCGATCAAAGAATCCAGAGTGAAGAATATCTACTTTCCAGGACCGTTTGTTCTTTGTGATGGAGTATGTGAATGGCGGCGATTTGATGTTCCAAATCCAACAGTTTGGCAAGTTCAAAGAACCGGTGGCTGTGTGAGTATTTCAAAGAGTTTACTTAGTTTACTTATCTCTAATCATCATTATTTTTCTTTTATTTTATAGATTCTATGCCGCTGAAATAGCGGCAGGACTTTTCTTTCTGCATAGCAAGGGTATCCTGTATCGGGATCTCAAGCTAGACAATGTCCTGTTGGATGCAGATGGGCATGTGAAGATAGCGGACTTTGGCATGTGTAAGGAAAATATTGTGGGTGACAAGACCACAAAAACCTTCTGCGGCACCCCGGACTACATAGCTCCCGAGGTGGGTTAATGTCCTTTTTTTAGCTAGAAAATAAACCAACTTTAATATTTATTTGCTTCCAGATCATTCTGTATCAACCTTATGGCAAATCGGTGGACTGGTGGGCCTATGGAGTCCTGCTTTATGAAATGTTAGTGGGCCAGCCGCCATTCGATGGCGAGGATGAGGAGGAGCTGTTTGCGGCCATCACCGATCACAATGTATCCTATCCGAAGAGCCTGAGCAAGGAGGCCAAAGAGGCCTGCAAGGGCGTAAGTATAACTTAAAAAATTATTTAAAATATTACGTTAATCATGAAATATCCTTGCAGTTCCTTACTAAGCAGCCTAATAAACGTTTAGGCTGTGGTTCCTCTGGCGAGGAGGATGTGCGTTTGCATCCCTTCTTCCGGCGCATTGATTGGGAGAAAATTGAAAACCGAGAAGTGCAGCCTCCGTTCAAACCGAAGATTGTAAGCCACTTTGAATTATATATAATTACATAAATCAATACCTATTTTATAATTATTATTCCACCAGAAACACCGCAAGGATGTGTCCAACTTTGACAAGCAGTTCACATCAGAGAAAACAGACTTGACGCCCACGGACAAGGTGTTCATGATGAACCTGGATCAGTCGGAATTCGTTGGCTTCTCCTACATGAATTCCGAATACGTTTTCGGTCCATAGATTCTTTAATCGGATCTAGTTTCCATGCTGCGAGTTGTGTCCTTTTAAGTCTATTTTGATATTAATTACTAACTACTTTGCAATGCGAAAAAAAAGACAACTTGTTATGTATACAATTAGCCTTTGTTGTTAAGTTTTATGTTTGATTTTTGCATATTACTTGTATCTATGTATGTATATTTATTGAATTGTTAAGTTTTGAGTTAATTGTAAGTGCTAGAAACTGTGAAACAGAGCTTTAGTTGTGGATTATTCGAATACTGTTCAAGGATCAAGTCTCACCCACCACCACTCACCTCAAGCCAAAGGAAAGCAATAAATATCATCATTTCAAAGTAACCATAGTCTGCGTAGAACTCTGATCGAAGCTGTCTTTCCACAATATAAACTTTAGCAAGCTTTAAACAATTGCATTTTCCATTTTCTCCCATTTTCCTTTTTCCATTTGGAAGTTAACTTTTTAGCCAACGTCTGAGTGTCTTTTGTGTAGAAAATTAATCGACTTTAATAGTTAAATATGGCGGGAATGTTGGCAAAGGCTTCCCCCAGCAGAGGATAGAAAAGGATTCTGGAGTTTTTTTTCGGGCCAGGTTCAAACGTCATTCGATTGTAGTGCTAGCCCCGGCATTATGATCAAATCGAAAACGCGTTTAGGTGAGTTCGCCGATGAGGGAGACATTAATAAGCTTAGCAGATCACTTACTCCTCGGTTAATCGTATTCAATACTTAGGCAGAAATATCATAGAACGAGTGTTTTTTAAATTCCATTAAAATTAAATATATATAAATACATATATGTGGGTGTGCGTGTAAATTAATTTTACATTTTATTTCGAAAAGCATTACAAAACACACGTATATATAGCACGACTATATATATAGCTGGCATAGAGTCTCAATGTACCATAACTAACAAATTGCATAGCAATAAGTTAAGCTTAGAAGATACTTAACACTAAAACTGTAATACTGTAATACTGTAAAACTGTAAAACTGTAAAACTAAAACTAAAAACTGTATAACTGTAAAACTAAAACTAAAAAACCGAAGAACGGTTCGCTCCCAATCAAGATGGGTTCTTGCGATGGAAACTTTAGTACCTTGACAGGAACCTAGCTGCTAACAACAACTACTGTTTAACTATGGGAAAAGACAATCTACTATAAGCATGTGAAACTATAGTCAAAGTATATAGCCTAGACCGATTTCCAAATTAGCGCCAGCCGAGCTAAGCTTTTGTGCCTCTCGTAGCTATCTTTCTCTCATAGAAGAAACCTTAAAAGAATTCACGCCAAACGAGGCTACAAAATTATTTATAGAACAATTATATTAAATTAAAAACAAAAAAAGGATAAAGATAGATGGGAGATGGGAGTATGTGTAGCCAAGCTAACTGCGTTGGGCACAACAGAGTAACTTAGCCATCATCTAAACGTGAATTGGTAAAGCTTAATCGTAGTTTGAACTAGTAAATTCGATAAATACTAATATTAAATACATCAAATTGTGTAACTCCGAACTTGAAGCATTTAAAACGTTTAATTTAACTCTCTCCAATTTGAAATCAAAACGTAAACTAAGCCAACCAAGAGTAGATCAAAAGTACTCGCGATGAGTGCATTTCACAACCACGATGAGTAGCACTTAAGGTTCAAACCGGAACACCGAGTACTCCGGTAATGAAATTTGCTCGTACTTTTAACAATTAAATGTAATACTTAATTAATATATATCTATAGATGTATATGTGTGTGTGTCTGAATTACTTTAATGAATTTTATGGCAAATAAATGAACGAGAAAGGGAGTAAAACATATTTCAAGTCTGTTCCAATATTGCAAATATTACAATTTGAGGAAAATAAATTAATTTTTATTATCGAACTATATACATATTGAAATTGCATATTGTTAGGACTTTAACAAGGCAAACTGTTTGGTTTAGAGTCGACATTTTTACAAAGCATATTTATGTAATTTTGATGATTTTCAAGGTCACTTTTTTAAACCAAAGTCTCATACGTATGTATTTTTATTGCATATTAACTTAGTACAAACTGAAAAATAAAAAAGGAAATATATATACACATATACATTATATTTATATCTACGAAATATCGATGTGAATTACTTAACAGATACGATATTCACCTAGAGATATATACGATACCATACGATATCGCTCGAGAGCCAGCGAAATCTTCCAAATAAAAAACCAAAAACTCTCGAACAAGAAAACCGAACAAGAACTAAACTAAAGAAACTATTTTTACGTCTGCAAAAATCACCATGAATCCGAATCTGAAACTGTATCTGAGGAGTCAGTGTAAGCTGTGTATGCATCAGCTATATACTTACATTTACGAGTACACACACACACACACACAGACCCCAACCGAATGTAATCTATAATTTATTGAGCCAAGCCAAACAAAGGGACAAACACAAATAAATCAAACAAACGGCTTTGGGCTCATCACTCACACAGACACAATACGAGTACCCCAAAGTAAATAAAAATACTACTAAATACATCTGAGTCTCCAAATCGGAAAATGTTTATCTATGGAATGCAGGATATCATTGAAGTATTGGGGGTTTTCGAGGGGATGATCCTTTTGAGTTAAAAAATCAAGTTATTTAAGAATCGTATTAGGAAAAACTGAATACTAGAGGTTTGAAATCTTCAAAAAAAGCCACCTAAAAGTATGCCTCAGATTTTAAAATAAAATTGTTTATCCTTTTATATTATTAAAAGTATCAATCATTAATTTATAATTAATACTTTTCTTCCTTAAAAATGTATACTTCAAATATCGTTCTCCCTTATATTCAGTTATTTTCAGAATCTGGGGTATTCATAATTCGAAAGGGTTCCAATTTGATCGTAAATTTGCAGAGCCCGGTTAGGTATGCAACCAGAAAGAGAATTCTAGGATGTCGGACCATATACTATATAGTATCGCAGATATACCTACAGACAGACAGACCTGGGGGAGAGGGCAGGCAATCCGCGATGTTGAGGTGGGTTTGCGTGGCGGCCTTATCATTGATTGCGTACAAATTAACATTTATGCGTCCGTTAGCGTTAGATAATCTTATCGTGAATTTGCAACAATTAGATAGACGTGTCCAGCAGTCGCTGCCAAATCATCCTCTCCAGTTAGTCAGTGAACAACATGGATAGTCATCGATTCGTTCCATCCATCAGGTACGCCGTGAATTTCACCAGGCCACCGGGCTGGCAGATGGGTCAGGAGGAATTCATGGAGCACAGCGACCTGTGCATCTTCCAGCGGCGACCACCAACGGTGGGGATCTTTGTCCTCTACGGTCTGGCCATTCCCACGCTGTCCGCCTTTGGTCTCTGCACGAATTTCATCAATGCCGTTGTTTTTATGAGACCCAAGATGACGCCATCGGCCTTTAGCTATCTGGCTGCTTTATCCTGCATGGACTGCATATCCTGCCTGCTGATCACTCTGACCGCTTTGTCACGAAGCTACTTTTACATGGATCCCGCCTGGAATGCCTATGACTACCAATGGCAAACGCCCCTCTTTGGCATCAGTACGGGAGCAGCGAATCTGATCCTGGCCTGCTTGAGTCTGGACCGTTTCAGCTATTTGTCCAGCTTTAGGAGAAATAATGGAGGAGCACCTCGCTTCTGCCGGCGCAAGGTGGCTCGCTATATGATCGCCATGGCCATTAGCATTTCCATAGTGGTTAATATGCCCTATTTTTTCGTGTTCTATGTGGGCGGTGATGGCAACTGCTATGTCACGGATTTTTACTACTCCAAGTGAGTAATGGAGATTGTAGATGACAAAGAACTCTTTAATATGAGATCTCTTTCTACTTCCCTTAGTTTTTACAAGGTTCAAAACTGGTTTACCTTTGCCCTTTTGGCCCTCCTGCCAGCCATATTCCTGCTGATTGGCAACACGGCCATTATTATAGCCTTTCGCAAATGGACAAAACAGAGTCGACGTTGTCATGCCGGTACTGGTGATAGTCGAACCACCGCCAAGCGATATCAGGTAACATTTAGACCATTTAAACCATTTTGGAAACTATATTAATAACAAGAAAGAAAGCTAACTTTGGCCAGCCAAAGTTTGTATACCTTTGCAGGTAACAATTAAAATATATCATAACTATGGCAAAAATGCATTAATTTCGATTCGGAAAGCAGTTTGGTGTTAGTTTTTATTAATTTAAAAAAACTGCATACCAAATTTAAAATTTTAAGAAATCAAAATTTTTTTCAATTTTTGAGAATTTTAATGATGTAACCCCTTATCGAATTTCGCAAAAATGGCCAAAAAATCGATTTCTTCCGGACATGTCTAGAAAGATTCCCCTGTTGATGCTGATCAAGAATATATATGGTTTATGGGGTCGGAAATGATTCCTTGACTAAGAAAAATATTATTTTGTATTATAAAATCTGATTTTTATACCCTTGCAGGGTATTATAATTTCAGTCAGAAGTTTGCAACGCAGTGAAGGAGACCTTTCCGACCCTATAAAGTATATATATTCTTGATCAGCATCAACAGCCGAGTCGATCTAGCCATGTCCGTCTGTCCGTCCGTCTGTCCGTCTGTCCGTTTCTACGCAAACTAGTCCCTCAGTTTTAAAGCTATCTGAATGAAACTTTGCATATAGTCTTCTATATAGTCTCACTGCTATATATGTCGGAACGGGCCGGATCGGACGACTATATCATATAGCTCCCATACAAATGATCGATAAATTTTTAGAAAAAAAATTATAACTAGCTGTTTTTCAACATTTTTTAGATATGGCCATTTTGTATTATCCGAAAAGTGCTTGTCAAACTGTAAAAGTTGAATCTCACTTGGACCAGTGCTTATCAAACTGTAATCTGAACTTCCGCCTAAAAGATGCCACGTTTTTAATAGAAAACCCCAAAAGTATGCTTTAATTTTTTAATAATGTTAATGAGCATCACAGGTGCAAGTGAGCAAACTTTTTCATTCAATTTGGCCGGTTTCCAGACTGGGGTAACAGGCGAACAGAAACCAGCAGCAAGCAACTGAAAACTGGTATAAACTGTTATAAAAACTTTTGGGCAAATATAATAATTGGTAGAAACTGTTATATTTCATTTTATGCATTTATACCTATTTGTTGCCGACAACAACAGCTTGATGGCAACAACAACCCCTTTACAACAACATCCCTGCAGCAGTCCATACAAATTTCTGAAATTTTCCATGCAAATTGCCCGTTTCCCAAATTGGGGTAACAGGCGAACAGAAACCAGCAGCAAGCAACTGAAAACTGGTATAAACTGTTATAAAAAGTCCAAGTTTCGAACCATTGATCTTGGAGTAAGCGAAGACTCAAACCAGATGTGACCATATTGTACATTTTTTGGCTAAAATGTGGCTTAAATGCACCTGGGCACACTGAATCTGACTTTGCATCAGTGATGCTCATCTATCTATTTTGTCCCAATAAAGAAATATAGCTAGATGGGCATCACTGCTATTACGCCTGATATATTGCCTCCCAATATTGCAAAATAGCTACATGAGCATCACTGATACAAAGTCTGATTTTATAGCCTCCCAATATTGCAATATAGCCAGATGAGCATCACTGCCATTAAGCCCGATTTTATAGCCTCCCAATATTGCAATATAGCTAGATGAGCATCACTGATGCAGATGAGCATCACTGATGGAAGTGAGCATCACTGATGCAGATGAGCATCACTGATGGAAGTGAGCATCACTGATGGAAGTGAGCATCACTGATGGAAGTGAGCATCACTGATGGAAGTGAGCATCACTGATGGAAGTGAGCATCACTGATGGAAGTGAGCATCACTGATGGAAGTGAGCATCACTGATGGAAGTGAGCATCACTGATGGTAGTGGTCATCACTGATGGAAGTGAGCATCACTGATGGAAGTGAGCATCACTGATGGAGATGAGCATCACTGATGCAAGTGAGCAAATTTTTTCATTCGATTTGGCCGCTTTCCAAACTGGGGTAACAGGCGAACAGAAACCAGCAGCAAACAACTGAAAACTGGTATAAACTGTTATAAAAACATTTGGGCAAAAATAATAATTGGTATAAACTGTTATATTTCATTTTATACATTTATACCTATTTGTTGCCGACAACAACAGCTTGATGGCAACAACAACCCCTTTACAACAACATCCCTGCAGCAGTCCATACAAATTTCTGAAATTTTCCATGCAAATTGCCCGTTTCCCAAATTGGGGTAACAGGCGAACAGAAATCAGCAGCAAGCAACTGAAAACTGGTATAAACTGTTATAAAAAGTCCAAGTTTCAAACCATTTCGGAGCCGGCGGAAGTAAGCGGAGACTCAAACCTTTTGAATCCAAATTTAGGTGTTATTTTACAACTGCACCTGGGCACACTGAAACTGATCGTCGTTAAATTCAAATTTGACAGTTAAATTCAAATTCAAATTTGGCAGTTAAAATATTTAAAAAAATTTTTTAAATTCTAAAAAAATTTTAAAAATCTCTAAATAAATTTAAAATATTAGAAAAAAATTTTAAATCTAATTTGAGACATGAGCTTCTGGTATTTTATCAGAATTTTGGTATAAATTTTATGAAAATCGGACGACTATATCTTATAGCTGCCATAGGAACGATATGGAAAGTAATAGACAAAATTATAACTTCGTTGTTTTTCAACGTATTTTCATTTACTTTAAGACATGAGCTTATTTCAGAATTTTGGTAACAATATTATGAAAATCGGACAACTATATCATATAGCTGCCATAGAAGCGATCCGTAGATGTAGAGAAAATGTAAAGCTGGGAATGTATAACTGTAACTTTCAAACTGTAAACATAATAAGTATAGGTAAAATGTTATGAAACTCTGTTTTGTGTCTGTTTTCGGCATTATAATTTATGATATAAATATGAAAACCAATCTGCAAGGGTATACAAACTTCGGCGTGCCGAAGTTAGCTTCCTTTCTTGTTTATATTAAAAAACTTCTTGATTTTTCTTAAATTAAAAATATCATAACTCGGCCAAAAGAACATTAATTTTAAATCGGAAAACAGTTCTGTGCAAGATTTTCTACAGTTAATAAATCTGCATACTTCATTTAAAAATTTTGAAAATTCAATTTTTTATCAAAATCAAAAATTTTAATGATGTAACCCCTTATAAAAGTTTGCAAAAATGGCAAAAAATCGATTTCTTCCTGACATATCTAGAAAGATTCCCCTGTTGAAGCTGATCAAGAATATATATACTTTATAGGGTCGGAAACGTCTCCTTCACTGCGTTGCAAACTTCTGACTGAAATTATAATATCCTGCAAGGGTATAATAATATCTATATCTTTTTAGCACCAAATGAAACTGACCATTAGCATTGTGATTGTGATTACCCTGTACCTAATTGGAGAACTGCCAGCTCACATGACTTCCAGGAAGAGCTCGCTGAACCTGATCTTTGGCGGCGATACCAACAAGGTGGATGAGTCCTTCATGGAGCAGCTGGAGGTTATCTGCATAACGCTAAATGCCCTGCAGTTATCCCTGAATATCGTGGTATATGCTGTGATCAATCCTTCCTTCATGCCCGAGTTTTTCCTGCTCCTTAAAGCCACATCCGACGTGTGCTTTGGTCTGTGTTGTTTTCGGGCTCTGGTGCGGAGCTGGAGGCGCTGTCAGGCCCGAAGGCAGCAACAGGCCACGGCAGAGGAGCATGTGGTCAGCGGGGTGGCGCCCCAGCATCTGCCGGCGGACGAGGCCCTGCCCTGCGGTTGCGAGAGCTGGGCCAGTGACTCGGGCTGCAAGAATGATGCCCACTGCAAGACAGCTGTGGGAACCTTTACCATGGTCAAGGATTCTGTGCATGATGAGGAGGTCTTTTCCCACTGCGAGCCGGAGGTCTTCACCACAAGATCAAGCGCCTGCCTGCACGCTAAAGGACCCAATCCCGACGAGGAGTCTATCTTCAGTTCTAGCTTTATTATAATTACTTAATTACATTTAAAGTATAGTTAACTAAAATTAAGTTTAATAAATTATATTTGCATAGTGCTGTAGCGGTTCAAAAGACGATTCCATATTTTATTGGTGAATCCTCGAGCTGCGCTTTCGTCTCCATCAAATACCTTGTAGTAGGGATCTCCAGTTTGAATCTTGTGTATGACTATACGCATCATTTCCCTATCCTGCACCTGGTTTTTATGCAGTTTTCGTAGCATTAGGATGCGTTTCCTAGTGACTGGTTTTTGGACATCTGTAGCATTCCCTTTTTCTACTGGTTCCTCAGCTTTAACTTGGAAAACCAGAAGACAAACCACTAAATAGAAGATAAAGACAGACTGGAGATGCATATTGAGTTAGAAGTGAATACTATAATGTCTCGAAGAAGACTGAGCTATTGATGTAAACTCAACTGAAGCTGGTAAAGATCTTACCAGCTGAGTAAATAAATAAAAGAAAGAAAAACTGGTTAGAAAAGAGGAAACATCTTTAATACCAAACAGATATCACTTGGTAAACAAGTAAACAGCCACGATGAGACCATACAGACCCAATACCTCAGCAAATATCAGTATCAATATGACAGCAACAAAGAGTTTCGACTGCTGGGCAGCTCCTCGGATACCAGCCTCTCCAACCACGCCTATTGCCATCCCAGCCGCCATGCCAGAAACACCCACTGCCAGTCCAGCGCTTAGATTCAGGAATCCCTTGTAGGCAGTCATGTAAGGGTGCAGTGAGCCAGCTAGCAGGACGGCAGTTACCAGGCCATAAATGGCTATGATGCCAGCCATGACCACTGGCACGATCGACTTCATGATGAGCTGCGGATGCTTGACCGCCATCGAAGAGATACCAACCGCAGCCTTGGCAGTGCCATAGGCGGCGCCCAAAGTGGAGAAGCTAATGGCCGAAACGACGCCCATTACGCCAAAGAAATAGCCAGACCGCGGGGTATCCAATGTAAGCTCGACCATGTTTTAGGAGATTCGAAAAAAAAAACGTTTTGTTTGTTTCGCTTTCCAATTCGAAAGCCCATTAATACCTTTTGAAGTTATAGAAACGAGCTGCGTGATCACAGATCTCTCTAACAATTAATTTCTTTTCAACGTTATTTAAAACATTTAATATTTCATATGTACATGGTTCTTAGAATAAATTATTCTTTTTAGACACTTAAGTAAGGTTTATATACTTTTTTGAGAACTTAATGCATTAGTTTAATGCCTGAGCACCTAGAATTTCTTAAATAATAATTCAAATATTCCTTGTTTTTCCATTCAGTTAGGCGACAAAATATTGTAAACGGTTTCATTGAAACTATGGTTAAAGGTCTCTTAAAAATATGAATTTCCTTAAGCCCTCGTTATAAAATTAACCTTTGACAACTTAAGTTATATTTACAGACAGAAGTTTTAAATAAAAACTTACTTTCCCTGCAGTTTGGATAGAAAATCCATGAGGAACTGGTGCCTTCCTCGTATCTCCCCAATGCTGCGATGCAAGAGCTTGGCGCATATTCGCCGGATAAGCTGCTCTCGATCGCGCGCCCCTAGCTTCATCTCGATGAGGATTACCTTGTCCTCTTCCCGGGTCCAGGGAGCCGAGTGGGAGCTAGTAGACTCGTCCTTTGAGGAGCTGGCCGCAGAGGCTGTAGTTGGTTGATCCCCGGTTGGACTGCAGCTGGCCAGCGTCGCCACCACATCTAGTTTGCAGTCTTCGTCGCTATCAAACTGTGTGGTGATCACGTGCTGAGGCGTACTGCCACCACTCACTTGCAGTGGCTCCAGCTCCTCCTCCTCCGATTGATCCAGGTCCATCTTGAGAGGGGTAGATAACTCAGGCTCCCCACTCTCCTCCAGGCTCTCCGCCTCGACTTTGGCAACAACGGCAGGACTGCAGCGAGGTGAAGCTGTATGCTTAGCCTGCGCAATAACCCTTATTCCCGCCTTCGTGTCCGCCGCATCCCGAACACTTTCCTGGTCTATCAAAGTTCGCAAACGCTTCGCGCACTCGATGGCTGGCGAAGATGAAGGCTTCGACTCGTGGATAACGACCATCGGTTGGTTATTGGACCGCTGCCGGCCCTGAGCTTGATTGGATGGGGATCGCACCTTCTTGCTGGGCGACTTCCGCTTGTCCACATGCGGAGAGTTATTGGGCATGGCTGGCAGAGGACTCAAGCCGGAGTTATTGAGCGCCGACTGCTTGCGCGGCGATATTTCCCCAAAATTAATGGCAGTTTTCTTGGCATTCGGATGGTGATGATGACCATGAGAGTGACCCACGTTGGGCGTACTGGTGGCTGCATTACTAAAGCTAGAATTGGTATATAAACTGGCATTTAATCGAATCGCATGGGCCCTCAAGCCCGCCTCGTCGCACATCTCGATGCTTGAGCAGCTATTCTGCTCATCGCCCGTTGTATCTATGATCAAGGCGCGACTGGGATCATCCTCCTCGCTCCGATCCGCAGCATCGTCGCTATCCGCATTAGCTGCCATGCTGAGCAGCTTCTCGCCCTGGCCCCGAATGCCATGGGCACAGGTCAGAGATTCGCTGGACACGGATGGCATATCGTGGGATTGTTCATTGTAAATACTGGCAGCCATAAAGGAAAGCTTGGCCGGCAGTAAGATCTTGGCACCGTAGAAGATCCGTCCATTGATGTACTTTATGTGACAGCCAGGTTTACTTGGCGCTGGGACATCGATGAACTCCTGAATCATTTCCGTATATTCACCGGTGGTGTTGTTCTGCACATCATGCAGGTTTATGGTCTCCACAGGAGAGAGGATTCTAAAGGGAATATATTTTAGTGGCCACACAAGAGAGGTGCTTTCGGGGTTCACTCACCTTTTGGGGGGCTTGCCCTGGGGAAATTGCTGCACAAACCAATCGCACAGAAACTGATTGCCCTTGAGCAAGGGCATTATCTTGTTCTCAACCTTTTTCATGCTAACATTTGGCAGCTCGGCCAGTTCGCTGAGGCAGGCATAGATCTTACGGATCTGGGCTGGTTGCTTGCAAAAGTATATGTTCAGTTTGTTGATAAAGTTGGCGGCATTGCTGATCATAAAGTGCTGGAAGAATTTCCCGATCTCAGCCGCCTCCGCAGGTAGCAGGAAATTGAGAAAGACCTCAGCCAGCTCGGGCAGATCGGGCAGCAGGATCTGTTCCACTTTCTGTTTGTAAAAAATTAAATATTTGTAAGGCAAAACCAACAGAGAGAGAGATAAGCAGGAGCTCTTACGAGATATAGGTCAGAGACTTTCTCCAGCTTTGGATCAAAGTTCTGCAAAAGACTGTTGAACTTCCTGCAATCCTCCAATCGATCGGCATTCAACAGGGCCTCCTCCACTTTATCGTAAAAATTCAAGGCGAAAACTGTACAAAAAGGGTTAAGAACATTATAAAGGAGTTAGGATACTTGAACACGAGACAAACTCACTGGCATCCTTGCGATTGCGCTCCTCTGGCGAATCCGGCTGCAGCATATGCCGTAGAATCTCCTCTTGACGATTTGCCTTCCTGATCTTGGCCGCCTCATCATCGGCTCGCGATCTCTTGGGCTGCGTTGCAGTCGGCGGTTTGTTGCTGCTACAGAACATCTTGAGGTCGACCAGCAGTTGTGTGTACAGTTCGAGGGCCAGAATACGTCTGTACACACGCTGTACTGGCGCGCAGTCTATATATCTATCCTTACGCTTCTGCAGGTAGGATCCGTAGGACGTGATCAGCGAGTGGCAGCGCTTGCGCAGTTTATGGCGCAAACGTTCGCGCAACTTGTGGTAGCGACTGCGGCTTGGCGTTGATCCCCTTCGCGATTTATTGGCGGATTTAACCTTTGGCTTAAAAATCTGGTAACGCGCCCTTCTCTGGGAGGTTCTACCTGAGGAGGTGGCGCTGGTATCCTGCGTAGGCAACAGATCTTGCTGTATGTCCTCGACAGAATTTTGCAATTCGCTGATCTGCAGCGTGTGAGTCAACTCATCTACCCTGAAATTTATGGCTGGCGGAGCATCGTCATCCAACTGAGGTGGGGGAGGAGGCAAGGCCAAGAGGCCACTGCACTCGGCGCTGGTGTGTAGGTTGCGATTGATATTCAGTACATTTTCCGCCAAACTTCCGCCGGACAGAAAAGGCACCGAGACTCCGGAGACTGCGTTTAGGCTTCTTGCGTCCGCAACACCTCCAAACACATAATTGACGTTGATGGTGAGGTTCGAGGGCTGCTCCTTGGCGCAGGACTTCCTCTTCGCTGCGTTTTTATGCGGTTTGCTATCATTTGGCAGCTCCGAACCAGCGGCGCTGCCATCGGGGACCGCAGCCTGGCCTAGATTCTCGGGCAATGGCAAATCCTCGCCGACCGCCTCACGCACAAACTCCAAATACGAGGCACTGGCGTCCGCAGAGGCTTTTGCTGCTTTCCAGGGGCGGCGGGTGCGCTTTTCCTCCCAGGATTTCTGCAAAAAGTTTGCAATTGAAAATTTTCCGCGATTTATAAACACACAGTGGTGGGAGAAGCAAAGGTACGAAACTATCGAATTAAGTTGTATTGGAAATCGAAACTAGGTACCTAATTTAGGTACAACAATCGAAATGTGCTATGACCACCCATAAAATAAACTAAAATAAGCTTAATATGAAAATGGAAATGCTTAAAAAACCGTGAATTATTATTATTTTGTTTAAAGTAAGCTATAATTACACCAAATTCCCTCTGAAAACAGCTCGACAGCCATTAAAAACCGCCAGATCTAGCGGGAAATTTTGCTTAATTGGCAACCCTGCCGATAACTTGTTACCTGTCTATCGCTATTTTGACTGCTCTAAAAGTAAGAGCGACAACATATTTCTTTTGTTTTTAAATAAAATAAAACTCGAAATACCCTGAAACCCAACTAATTTGAATGTTTTCTCCGCACTCCCACTAGGCCTGAAGGATTCCGTTTGATAAAATCTTCGGAAGCCCCATAAATCCAGGAGAATCTAAAACTGACCACGTCTGCACATTCCAACATGAGCAAAGTAACCTTCAAAATCACACTAACTTCGGACCCCAAGCTGCCCTTTAAGGTGCTCAGCGTTCCGGAGGGAACTCCCTTTACAGCCGTGCTGAAATTCGCCTCGGAGGAGTTCAAGGTGCCGGCAGAGACGAGTGCCATCATCACGGACGACGGCATCGGCATCAGTCCCCAGCAAACGGCCGGAAATGTATTCCTCAAGCACGGATCAGAACTGCGTCTCATACCCAGAGATCGGGTGGGCCACTAAGCTAATAATAGTTTCCTTTCCCTACGTATTTTCCCTTGAGATTTCCCCCCTTTTTCAACGCTAATTAAAATGTTAAACGATGTAAATTGAATATATTTCTCACCTGTATGTAGTATTGCCAGCCGCTGGGCAGCTCCTGGTAACGTTCCCGAGGCGTCCTCACCAATCCGCCTTCAAAGCTCCAAAGGACGTTGTTACTCACGGGCGGTGCTCGCTCGCGATCCAGGAAATATTTCACGGGATTATACTGATCCGAAGCGCGCAGCTCTGTGATCTTCATGAATATTCGACGGTCTGTCTTCTCACAAATCGTATCCTTGGCCATTCGCCTGCAGGCAATGCGTATAGGATCGGCGCCCTTTCGCAGTGGTTTTTTTAAATTAGTAATGGCTGCCATGTGCTTCTCCAGACCCATGGCAATGAGCTGATACTCGGATGGGGCATAGGCTGAGATCTGGGTCAGTTTGGGCTGGAAAGCCATGCGTGGCAGGTACTGCGGATACATGAAAACCCGACTGTCCAGCATGAGATCCATGATACGAGGGGCTAGCCTCGGCACCTGTCGCGTGTGACCATCGCTGGGAAAGGATAAGGGAGAGAATTACAATGTTATTAAAAGGATCTCGCCCAACTCACGTCAAATCCGTTTCCTTGTTGATGAACTCCATCATCTTGGTGTTTTCCGCCTCGCACTCCTCACTGCACAGATCGTGCTCCCACTGTCTGACCAATTGGACGGCTTCCCTCAAGTTCCAGCAGTTAAAACTAGCGTTTTTGTTGGCCTTTTGATGAAGTTCCTCCAGCATTTCTTTAGGCTTGGCTGCCATGTGGTACAGGTTGGGATGCGAGTAGGTTTGCAGAAAGCTTTGGCTTAGTAGCTGAGTGTGAATCCTTAGCTGTTGCTGGAGCATGTCGTACTGGGCTTGAGTAAAGCCCCTGCTCCTGGTTAGGTGATGATAGTTAACTGGCTGAACATGGCGCAGATTCTCAAACTGTTCTTCATACTCGGCGTAAACATGCTTCTTCACTGAGATGTATTCCCAAGTGAAGTTGGTGTCGTAGGGTTTTTTATAGCGTTCTGCATTATTTTTCTTGGGTGTGGGGGCTTGAATTGGCTTAATGGTGGCATCCTGGGCTGTATTATTCATTAGAGAAGCATTGAAAACCGTTGAATCATCATTCACGACTTTGGCGAGTTGGAAGCAATTGGGTTGTCCCGGCATTGGAACGGCAATCAGTTCTGGAGGCACACTCAAAGCATCGCTTGGTATGTTCACCACCTTGGAGGGCGTTCCACCCGGACCCATTTGCAGATGGCCCTCCTGCATCACTGCCACGGGAACCGGCATCATTTCCATTCCCATGTTGCCAACATTGCAGGGAGCAGCTAAGACATTTGGCTGAAAGACCTGCAGCTCCTCCTGATGTCCATTTATCACAACCTGACCCTCGAAATCGATTTGCCGAGACACTTGATCGATGGGATTCATTGAGACATTGGCGCTTTCGACGAATTTCTGCGGAGTTTCTAGCTCCACGGACTCCAGGGACACTCCCTCCTGCAGCAAGCCAGCAAAGAGCTCAGACACCAGGTCGGTCAACTCCTTTTTGGATATATTGACATCGCGCAGCTCCTCGGCATTCTCGTACTCCGATTCCAAATGATCAGCGGCCACATACTCCGGATCGTTGATGGGATCATCATCATCGCCCAGAAGGGTTTTGTCTGAAAAAAACAGTTTGTTTATAAAAGGCATAAGATTCTCTTGTAGAATACTTACTTAAGGGCTTCGTAAAGTCATTTAGGAACTGCATCCAGTCCGCATCGGTGGCGGTCATTTCGTTTTCCACCACATCGCTTGGCTCCAGGTCGGGTGGCACGAATTCCGACTGCAAATCCTCGATGGTAGTCTGCTGCAGACACAGCTTGGAACGCGTTCTCGTGGCTATACGTAGATCCTCATTGTCCATCACATTCTTATCGAATGGCAGCTTAAAACAACCGTCATCGGAGAATTTAACCGGCGATTCTTCAGCCGCAGTGATTGGGGTTTGAGGTGTGCACGGATTTGAGTCGAAATCCGAGGCTGTGGTGTTGGGATCATCATCGGACTGGGAATCAAAGCAAGGTTAAATACATATCAAGGCATCGGTGTGTAAACCTACATGGAAGTCATCCTCCTTGAAGGTGTACTCCTCATCATCCTCGTCGGAATGCAAATCTTCGCGTATCAGAGCTTCTATGCCATCCGCATCTGATGGCGTTTCGTTGAGGTGAGCCAGAATGCCCGTCGCGCAGTTCAGCTCCCGGGCTTTGGCTCGAGTCAGCTTGGGCACGGACGGAGTGTCCGTAATGATGATTGCTCCCCGTTTCTGCTGATCCGCCGTCTCCAGCTTCTTCTCGCGCGCCAGCTCATCCTCCGCTTTTAGGGTGACCAGGGCCAAGACGTGATCATTGCGCACCACACTCCGCACCACCTTGTGCATGTCCTCACTGCTAATAGAGTTATCTCTGGCCACTTTCCGGAGCCGGCGGTCAATTTCCTTGGCGTCCTCATCCACCTGCGAGTCTAGGCTCTGGCGCTCGCCGCGCCGTCGCTTCCGCGGCCTACGGGGCGTCGAGCTATTGCTCCGTGTAGCCTCGGTCTTTTTGGCACTGTTCGGCATTCTGGGATTTCATTAAAGTTATGAAATTTCAACATCAACTTTGCCGGAATGCAAAACAAAAACGCAAACAAAATGTCAGTGTTGCCAGGTGAAAGTTTGGCTTTGAACCTAAAAAATCTCAAAAATGCAGAAAAGGCGGGTAAATTTCCCCTTTCGCGGCTTCTGGGCACACTGCTTGGTTCAAAAAAGGCGCTAAACATTCCCCCAATAAATTTTCCACCCCTAAAATTAGAAATTAATGTAACTATATAATAAAATAGTGCAGTAAGTAAAAAATAAATAAAACTAATCAATATATTTTTATTTTTAAATTGAAATACCGTCTTAATTAAAACAATCATTATTTTATAGTTTCTTAAAACTTGCCAAATTGTCAACAATTTTATTATGCAATTTCTCAAAACAAACTATCAATAGAATATTATTGAAAAGGTGCATTGAAAGCCAATACTTTGAGCGTCTCAACATTTTTGTCGTTCAATTTGGTGGACGATTATTTACACACTAATAAGCAATTTGTTTACAGTCTCTTTGGCAACTAGCGGCTGCTCCTCCAGCTTGGTGTTCTCCCTCCCCAATGCAGCGGCCAGCTCACGTCCAGGGATAATTGTTGGAGAAGAGCACCGTTCCCAGCAGGCTGTAGGTGGTGCACCATATGAAAAGTGCACCGGCCTTGGAGCGTAACTTGAGTTGGGCCAGAGTCTTTGGCATGTGGTCGGCGGCAAACCAGTAGAAAGCGGGCGTGGCCGAGGCCAGGAGTCGCGTGGACACCTGGATGTGCACGTAGACGGTGCAAACGAGGGTGAGAAACGCGGCATGTAGCACGAATGGGAATGTGATGTGCTGCTTGATGAGTTCGCGATAGCCAGAGGGCGTGAGTTTCGCCCAGACCTTGGCCACAAAGTCCCGCAGGTAGTCGTAGCAGTGCCAGTGCATGAAACTCAGCATGGGCAGGGCCAGCAGGAAGTTGGGGAGCTGCTTCCACTTGTAGTAGCGCAGGAAGCCCACATCCCAGTAGTGCGACTGCACGTAGGTGTAGGGGAATGGCAACGTGTACTGGCACCAGGGAGATTGCTGGGGTCCTTGGCCAGATGTTAGGTACTTCCTCTCTGCCGCATAGTCCAAAATGTGCTTGGGATGCGACACCGTCATGGTGGGCAGGCAGTAGAGCCTGTAAACGTAGAAATAGAAGCCGTGCAGAATCCCAATAGCTCCCAGAATCGTCAGAGCCATCTTTCCTCGTTGCCACACAGAGCTTGACCTTTCCTTAATCAGAATCTGTCGTGCGAAAAAGTAGAGGGGGAATCCCAGGGTGATCAGCCCATTTGAGCGGCACAGCAGGCAGGCGGTTAAAGCCGCACCCAAGCGTACGAAGGTAAAATTTTGCGATGGCTTCAAGCACTCCAACATCAAATGAAAGCTGGCGTAGGCGAAGAAGGTTTCCGAGTAGGCGGCTGTGAAGAAAATCGTGGCCGGGTTGAAGCAGTAGATCAAAGCGGCGTTCCAGCTCTTGTTGAGGTCGTTGAACATATAGTGGGTCAGCTGAAACAGCAGGTTAGCGGACTCGCAGAACAGCCAGAGGTTCAGGATGACTGCCACTAGCAGCAACAGCGATTCCTGGGACAAGGGAATCCCGATAAACTGGCACGAGTATGCCACGTAACGCACCACCACCGGGTACAGCGGATAGAAGGCCAGGCTGTTCTCGTAGGAGTACAGGTTACCGGCAATGTGCAGAAAGTACTCGCCATCCCAGTTCTTGAGTCCGCCAAAACACCGCAACACCAGCTTGTCCATCCATTCGCAGCAAGGTTTCTTCTCCGCGTCCGCATCTTGGCCTACTGGCATCCGGAATACGTCCGGTTTGTGCTCCGGCAGAGCTCCATTGGCCGCCAGCTGCACTATCAGCACCATGAGGCGGCTGACCAGTGCCAGCTTGGTTACTTTTTGGGTCATTTCCGGGGTTCTGTAACGTTGGGTGGAGTCATTCATCATCGGTGTGCATGTGATTCATGTTAAATCGCTGGCTTACCTGTCTTTTACAACGATGAAGCTACAGGCGCGGAACTCTCCTCACCGGCTGAAGGGGGAAAGAGCTTTTCGGATGCTTATGGGGCAGCTGCCACTTACAGCGACATTTGTTTCGGGGGGAAATTTCTGTTTTTTATTTTTATTTTACTTTTGGGCAGAGCGCCCGGAAAAGTAAAACTTAGTATGACCAAAGATGGGAATGTGTGGAATTTATTAGTTAGTTTTAACAATTTGGTATTTTTTCGAAGTCATTAATTATTTATTCCAGTGCCGCGGCTCTACTTTTACTTATGAATAATAATAACTAAGAAATTAAATGATCATATAAACTGTATAGTAACAAATTAATTACTGTTACTATTACTATTAATTCTTAAAGAAAATTCTATGCTTGGTATATTTTTCATTCAGTAAACCTTCTGGTTACACTGACATTCGTCAATCAGCTGTTTTCTCTTTTTTGTCACAAATAATAACAAAGCAAACTTTCAGGGAATTTGTTTATAATTCCCCCTTGATAAGAAATTCAAAGAAAATCTATAATGGATGGCCATTTGCGCCTCCACAAGGTCGCTCCAAACATCCAGGAGAAGGTCAAGGCGGGCGGCAACATGGAGCAGCTCTCGGGCGTGATGATAATCATCATCATAAGTGGCGGCGTCCTGCTCTCCCTGATGCTCTTCATCTTCGCCAAGCGGCAGATCATGCGCTTCCAGCTACGAGGACGTCGTGGCCCCCACGTTCCCGTGGGCAACGATGCCAAGAAGGGTTTGCGACGGGAGATTGAGCGGCGGTTGGACTGCATCCCGAAGATCACACAGGAACCAAAGCTGTTATGGAATGACGACGACAAGTACATCGTTCAACCGGAGCCGGAGACACCACTACCACCGTACTACTACCGAATGAAGGCAGTGGACGATGTGAAACTGCTGGAATCGGAGATAGCCCGCTCGGATGGAAGTTCACGTCATGCGCCGGAGAGCCTAAGGGCCTTCCTCTTGACCACATTGTCCGTGACGCTGAACGGAGCTGGGCAGCGGATGATTCACCAGTTCTGCGACATGTACGAGCACGCACGCCACGATCCCAATGAGTTCGGCAAGGATGAGTACGAGGCGTATCACCATTTGCTGTTGAAGCTGCTGGAGGCGTGAGTTCGCTAAACATTCTATAGCTCGAAGTTTATTTTAGTGCCATTTTGTATGCAATTTTAAATAAATGTTTAATATTTTATTTCTTGTTTTTATTTCTCGAGTTGTAGAAGTTCTTTGCTCTAACTTATACTTTTCCCTTTTAGATCCAAGCAGCTGAAGAACTACAATTCGCGAAAGGCTTCTCCAGCTCGAACTCCCCGCAAGCAGACCAAAATGCACTCCCTGCTAGATCCCGCCCGTCTGCGTCCACCCACAACCATGGAGAATGTACAACCGAGCAGTGAATTAACCACGGGACAACATGCAAAGGTTAACTTGACGCTGGGTCTGCAGGGTGGCAGTGGAGGTGGTGGCGATGGCGATGCCGAGCTGGCCACAAATCCCCTCCATCTTCAGGCTCCATCGGACAGAGATTTGATTATACGGAACAGGATTAAAACGCCCACGCTGGACGACATCATTGTAGAGGCGGATCATCATCAGAGCAGCGATTCCGGAGGAATGGAGGACAACGAGATTAAGAGCATATCGTCCATGCAATTCCAAAGGAACTCCAATAATGTGTAGGTCCGTTTCCAAGGAACCGAGGATGCAGTCATATATTTATTCTAACTAATACGAAATTTCCTTAGACTGTTAATTTACTAAATAAAAAATATTCATTTAAGAAAAATTTAACATTTTTTCCCGTTTCAATGTTAAAAAAAAATTTGTTTGCTTTTCGAAGGCATGAGCGAGGGTATGTTCTTTGGTCTTTTTACTTTTTCTTGCAAGGATCTTCCTTCTTAGCACAAGGATCATCCTTCTTGGCACAAGAATCATCTTTCTTCTCCTCTGTGCACTGTTTCTTCTCATTATCCTTCTTGGCACAGTTGTCCACCAATTGTGAGAAGAGAACCAAATCCAGGAGACGGCATGCGTAGCCCGTCTCATTGTCATACCAACTGATCAGCTTCACGAAGTTATCATTCAGAGCGATACAGGCCTTGGCATCGAATACAGAGGCGAACCGGGAACCATTAAAATCGGTGGACACGACCTCCTCATCTACATAACCCAAAATGCCCTTCATATCACCCTCAGAGGCTTCCTTAATGGCTTTCTTGATGTCATCCATTTTGGCGGGCTTCGTCAGGCGACAGGTGAGATCCACCACCGAGACATTGGGCACCGGCACACGGAATGCCATGCCCGTGATCTTGCCGTTCAGCGACGGGATCACCTTGCCCACTGCCTTGGCTGCTCCCGTGGCAGCTGGTATGATGTTGCACATGCCACTGCGTCCATCTCGCCACAGCTTCATGCTCGGCCCATCGACGATCTTCTGGGTGGCGGTGGCTGCATGCACGGTGGTCATTAGGCCCTCACTAATCTCAAAATTGTCGTGCACCACCTTGGCCAGCGGAGCCAGGCAGTTGGTCGTACAGGAGGCGTTTGATATGATCTTCATATCCGGCTTGTAACTATCTAGATTCACTCCGCAAACAAACATTGGAGCATCTGCGGATGGCGCTGAAATTACCACCTTTTTCGCACCGCTGTCCAGGTGAGCCTGGGCATCCTTTAGGGTTGTGTAACGACCGGAGCATTCCACCACCGTGTGAACGCCCATGTCACACCACTTGATCTTCTTGATATCACTCTCCGCCAGTAATTGAATCTTTGCGCCGCACACCTCCAGGAAATTGCCCTCTACCGACATCTTGAAGTCGAATATGCCGTGGGTGGAGTCATAGCGTAGCATGTAGGCCAGATACTTGGGATTCAACCCTGGATCGTTGATGGCCACGATCTTGACATCGGAACGCACTAGAGCCTGGCGGACAAACATCCTGCCAATGCGCCCAAAACCGTTGATTCCAATTCCAGGCATGGTGTTTGTTTTATAAAATTAAACATTCAATTTATTTCAGATGCTAGGCTGAGGTCCGAATTGTTTATAAGAAAGATTTTGGGCTCTTGGCTTTCCTAGATCGTCAAGGGGGGAAGGGTTTCACTTTTCAAGGCATACATAATTACGCAACTGGGTATAAATCAATCGAATTCGACCACCTGCCAAAGCTTCTCACGGACAAAATTACAATAACCTTCGGGAACGCCCAGCCCTAAATTGTCTGGAGCCCCAAGACGGCGGGGGAGTGGCTGCCAAATTGTTGCCCAAACGCACACAGTACACACACCTACACTTATGGGCATAGAAAATCCAGCTTCAAGGGTCATTACTCACCTTTGTGTGGATGGCCTCACTCCTTCGGGACCCACCCACCTTTTTAATGCACTTTGAATATTTTTTGGAGGAAACTATTTTAAAGATTTTTATTTTAAAAGGGAACTTGTATTTAAGAACTTTAAGTGCGAGATTTTCTTTGGTTTTAAAACCATCAAATGGTTAAATAAAATAAGAAGTTTGATGTCTTCTTGTAAAGAATAAAACTGAAATGTAAAACAAATTTAGATTCGTATTTAGGACACCGACGATTTTATTAGGAAGACCATTTTCAAAATGTTATTTAATTCCAAGTTTGACATTTCTAGTTTTAGAAGCTCTTATTTTTACTTCATAGTTATCATTCCTTCAAATTGATCAAATTTAAATCGATTAACAAATATATAAAATAATCCAAAATGGCCTTCAAAAGTTCATTCACTTTTCTAAGGAGTGATTTTGTTCCCCTTTTAAATCCTTTGTGTTGGAGGTTTCTATTCTATCCTTCTCCCAACGCCATTAAACAAAAAGCTTTGTTATTTTTCCAGATCTGGGATCCTTGGGGATCTGGCTGCTAGATAATTTTCAAACTCAGCCAAGACCTTTAAACCTTTTTTTCCCCGTGTGTGTGCGCGTCCCATTTATTTGAGCATAGCAGATGACGGAGAGCCTTGGCCATTGAAATTTCCATTCCATTTCGGGGGAACCATCTGCCCCTTGGCCCATGACTCGGCTGAATCGAACCTTTATTTCGTTCGGCTCTTAGTGGAGGTTCCTCGCCCCTAAATCGTCCTGGGAAATCGGTGGGTCTTCAACTAGCTATGACAACTTAACTTTGTTGAATATTTATGATGGCGAAGCAACAGAGGCGAGTCGGGCAACATGTTGCCAGCAATGCCACTGCGACGCCCCCGCAGGATATTTTGAACTGAGAGAAAGGACTCTCTCTCTCACTTTCGTGTTGGCCAGGACGAGGAGCACACTCCGGGTGCTGTGGTGAATTTCTTCATGGCGAAATTGGGGCCGCCGTTGATTACGAAATTGTTACAGTAATCGCAGCACCCGCAGTTGCAAGGATAATGCAACTGTTCTCTGCTCCGCTTCGAACTCCTAAGCCCGGGCACCGCCTCTTTGTATCATTTATGTTCGAGCTCCATGCGGGTCCCTTAAAAATGTTCAATGTGAAATGCTCCCCATAAAATTCCATCAAATTTAAGTTTATTTTATGAACTCTGGTCTAGCGGAGGGGCAAGGATCTAAGCCAAAACCCTTGCAACTTTGTTTTCATACGTCTGGGGCCCTCAGCCTTGTTTACTGTAGTGTCTCTGTTTTCATTCCAGCTACTTGAAATTTATGCGAAAAACTTTCAAATTTGAAACTTGCCTGCCAGCCGCTCTGAAAGATGGCCTGGTCTGAAGCAGCAACAGGACACAAATCCCATTTAAAGCGCAGCGGAGCAGCTTTGGGCAGTTAAAATGTTTTGGCCAAGTGTTGAAATGCGGTCGGGTTAGGTAACAACAGTAAAATATGCAATTTAATTTGATACAAAACAATAAACAAGACCGGGAAAATATGGAAATTTCCTGACAGCTAACCTTTATGCCCAACTCCGGCTTATATTTTATGTTTTTTTGGACGTTTTATCGGGGTGAGCAGATCACAAAACTAAGTTTTAACTGCCTGCAGGCAAAGCTCAAATAAAGAATGGCTAAGCTTATAAGGATATGATGTCGTGTCTGCTGTGAGTGTTCTTAATCTTAATCACAGTTTTTCAACAGTCATCGAGCATTAACAGAAATGGCGGCTAAACACTTGGAGAAAACAATAAAAACTTAAATTTTACTCTTAAAAATAAATGTATTTTTCTTTTGAAACATTCAAAGAAGTTTTTTATGTTTTATTTATAGAAATGTTGGTTTCTTTTCACTTCTCTGATCACATAATATCTCTTGCCATTCCCATTTTTTCCATGTGCATGGCCCACATAAAGGACCAATGGTTAAATGTCCCTCCAGGGTCTCCTTAACTTGTTGGCCCTGGCCAAAGAGCGAACTAAAGTTGGTCCTGGCACAGGCAGGATAAATGTATTTAAGACCAAATCAGGCATTAAAGCAGACCAGGCTTAAGCTTCTGAGAGAAAACAAATCGTTGGCGAAATGTTGCGGAAGTGCCAATTGTTTTATTATATTTTTTTGCTGTTTGCCAAGTGCCTCCATAATTTCCACAGCTGTCAATGGCGCTAAGGAACAGCTTAGTGATGTACCAGAGAGACCCAACTCCTGGGCATCCGCATCCGCCTCAAGCTTATCCGCATCCACACTTCCTAATCGCATTCAGTTTATATATTTTCCATAAGGCCCCTGCTGGGCGGCTGGTAGTACTACACTACATCCTGCCCGGGCTGGTCTGGTTCTGCCTTGGTCCTGCCTTGGTGAATGGGTGGAAAAATTTGTTGTTTGGCTGCTAAGCGATTATCCTGGAGATCAATATTCACAGTCTCAGCTGCAGGACCCGGGTACAGACCCGGTTACGGCAATAGTTTCGAGGAGCCGCCGGGCGGTACATCATCCCATCCAGCTGGCACTACAAATTGAATTGTCAAACACAAGTGCGCTCTGCAGCAAATTTTCGGGCATCGGGCGTTCGGCGAACAAAGAGCCATTTTCAAACAAAGGACCTGAGTCCTGGGCCAGATTCAGCCCGTTTTGGAATTCAAACTGACAGCTAATTGTGCGCTCAAGTGGCTAAAAAGAGGGGCGTGGCTGGTACTTGGATTTTGAATTCCCCCCAGCCCCTGCTGCTTGTCCTTGCCAGAACTTGGAATTAAATCAAAAAGCCAATGCGGCAGATGGAAATCCGTTTCGTTTCGTTTCGATTTGCTCCCAGCGTGGCAAACTTGGCAATTTTTGGCAGGTCATGAAATTTGTAACCTACACACAAATCTGGCCAAAATATATATACTATCTCTTTGGCAGGAAATCAGTTGCAACACTCACACACATAAGCATTTCTGACAGGGTGGAAGTCAACCCATTCAATGACTTAGATATAATTCAATTTGCATTTCTGCGAATGTGGAACGACATTTTTTCCGCTTGTGTGTTTGTGCGACATTGGCGAACTTTCCCCTACGAAAACTTTTCATGATAACTTGATAACTTAGTAAATGAGTTTTCAATAAATAGACTGCAGACATTGCGCAGGAATTTGAGGGAAAATAATTTTAGATTTTTCTGAAATAACCTTGTATGGGATACTGGACACTTTTATGAGTTCTTTTGACCTTTAAAATCTAAACTTGCATTTGAATTTAATACAAGGAATCTTAACATGATTTTTATACCCTTGCAGGGTATTATAATTTCAGTCAGAAGATTACAACGCAGTGAAGGAGACGTTTCCGGCCCTATAAAGTATATATATTCTTGATCAGCATCAACAGGGGAATCTTTCTAGATATGTCAGGAAGAAATCGATTTTTTGGCCATTATTGCGAAATTTCATAAGGGGTTACATTAAAATTTTTGATTTTGATAAAAAAATGAATTTTCAAAATTTTTAAATGAAGTATGCAGATTTATTAACTGTAGAAAATCTTGCACAGAACAGTTTTCCGATTTAAAATTAATGGTGTTTTGGCCGAGTTATGATATTTTTAATTTAAAAAAAAAAATCAAGAAGTTTTTTAATATAAAAAATCCGATTTTATAATACAAAATAATATTTTTCTAAGTCAAGGAATCATTTCCGACCCCATAAACCATATATATTCTTGATCAGCATTATCATGCGAATCTTTCTAGACATGTCCGGAAGAAATCGATTTTTTGGCCATTTTTGCGAAATTTGATAAGGGGTTACATCATTAAAATTAGCAAAAATTACAAAAAATTTTGATTTCTTAAAATTTTAAATTTCGTATGCAGTTTTTTTAAATTAATAAAAACTAACACAAAACTGCTTTCCGAATCGAAATTAATGCATTTTTGGCTTAGTTATGATATATTTTAATTGCTACCTGCAAGGGTATACAAACTTTGGCTGGCCAAAGTTAGCTTTCTTTCTTGTTTAGAGTTAAGTTCGTGTTTTTATAATTTTTACCTTTTGCAATTATTAACTGATTTAATTGGGAAACCAACTAGAAAATCAATAAAGAAGTAAATTAAACTGAAACCAACTTTTTTACCATTAACAACATTCCCCCCATCTTGTATATTTGGCTCAAACTAAGTACAAACAACTTTGCCAAAGTGGGAAAATATATTGAAAGGATATCCTTTTAAATTCCCCATTTATTCAGCACTAAAATCCCTCCGCCTTATTCACTTTCAGCCACAATTGAACCCCCTTTTTGCTGTAAACTTTTTGTATATAAATTCTCAACTTTCAGCTCTTGGCGGCTAGCCGGCTTTTGACTAATTGACCCAGCTGACCAGGTGAGAAATAGCCTGAAATTGAAATTCAATGGAATAACAATTAATTGAGTGTACAGGTTCAGGTGAGGTAATTGCGTTGATATATGTATGTACATATATGCCGCTTCGGATGCCCCGGCCACTCCATAAATAAGGCAACATTACGTATACGCTAAGGATGCCAGCCGTAGCATGTGTGCGGACACATCCTTCCTGGACGACGCAAAGAGGAAGCGAGGTATCGGGGGAAGCGGGTCAAATGCCATGAAATTTCATTACCTTCAAGAGCAGCAAGCAAATAGCATAAAAGTTAAGCTGGTAGCTAAACCAATTACACTAGCCCGCGACTGTATTT